TTTTTTGTTTTGTAACATGATGATTTTTTCTTCCACTTAATTTTTGTTCATTTTATAGAACGCAGGTTTTATAATTTTACCTACTTTATAAACTTAATAAATGATCATTTTAATAAAAATGTAAAGGTGTACCATTACACACTATTGCTAAAATAATTTATAGGCAGTATTTGAACTATACAGGATAAAAATGCTTAATTTTAGGTAACTCTTATTATTTCTGTTGATTTACCAACTCTTAAACGCTAATCTATTTCCCAGATAAAAATATTCCAAGGATAATAGCTTGAATACGAGATTCTGAAAAAAAAAAAAAAAATCACAATATTCCTATTGAGAAAATATTCAAGAAGTAACAATGAAAGGAAATTATTAAAATGATACCCCCACACTTTCCTACGATTAACTTTCACAGACTACAGTGTAAAACACACTCAGAACAGCAAAGGGTGGTAACTACAGTCTTTCACCGACAGAGGCAAATAAGCTCGTTTTCTATAGTGTCATAGATAAGATACACAACAAATCAAAGAGTAAGTTACGTTTCCTGCTTTTCCCCTCTGAATATATTAACTACGCAGTCTACAGTCACAATAGTGTAATATTATGGACTGTCATTTGCTTTTACGCCTTCCTTATTTACATAATAATCACACTGTGCAACACACGAGCTGGCACAAGTCAATTTATACAGGGAAAGAAAGAATCCATTATCAGTTTCAAAGGTAAGGGGAAAAGAAATAAACCCAGCGTGTTTATACAAAAAAAAAATAAATAAATAAAATAAATAAATAAAATAAAATAAACAAGAATCGATTCCATTTCATAAAAGCAGGAGAGAATGAAGCAAAAATTTTCAGGACATAATAATGAAAATATCTTGTAAATCTAACCTTTGTTAGGTAAACTAGAATTTCAGTAATCACAGAACGGATCAATTTCTGAAGATAATTATACACCAATTGCGAAAACTTCGAAAATAATTTTAACCACTGCTGCAGAGATGTCTCTACACGATATTTTGTCAAAAGCAGTATAAACCTCTTTATTGAAGTAACGTAAATAGAATTACAAACAAATCGTTCCAACTCGGGCTTAATGCAAAGGGCCTGTCGGTTTAGTGAATTAGATAAACCCAGTTTTCGATGACTGTATACCTCATGTAGTGAATGACAACCCTCAAAACTCCTTTAGTATACTTTTTGTAGTGTCTCGAGCCACACAAAAAATAACCTAAAGGAGTTAAATCGCAACTTCTCGAGGGCCAACTAACAATTTAATTTCGTGAACAACAAACTTTTTTTTATAATATACGTCAATAACGGCGTTGGCAGTGTGTTATGTGGCACCCTCTTGTTGGAACCACAATCCCCGCAAATCGATGTCCTCCAAATCTGGCCAAAAGATTTGTTATCGTCAATCGCTATCGATCACTAGTCACTCTTGTCGTATCTCATCTTTTGTTCTGCAAGGAAAAAAAAAAAAAAAAAAAGTCCGATAACGGCATTATGTCAGGGGTTGTCAACCAGGAGGGAATTTCAAAGTTTTAGGAGGAAATATGGTCATATTTTTATTGATATTAAGCATTCAATTTCAATTTATAAATATAAAACCTACTTTTATTCAAGTTTTGGTATTTATCAACATATTTTTACTCGTTTATGCTTAATTTATAAAACATCTTAAAAAAAATAGTTTAATTCTCAACAAATGTATACATATATTTTTTAGTTAGAAATGAGGTGGAGCAGGTGTCGAATGATCTAGTAATGGTAAATGGACTGCATGGGGCAAAACAATGGTTGATTACCATTAAATTACAGCCCCATTACAAAAACAGTGGCTTTTCCTTTTAAGCCAAACTATAAGCATTTTCCTAATGCAAGGGCTATTCGTGCATCTTTTGTAGGTGTTTTTACACCAAAAAACGACAATTTTGTTTGTTACCATATCAAACAGAAATAAGCTTCATCTGAGAAGACCCTTTTTCTTTTCTTTTTTAAATCCAAATTAACGTTCTTGAAGCATGTGTTTTTCGCCATGATGAATTGTCAAAGCAAACTAATCATAAACAAATATTAGCGATAGGAATAATATTTTAAACATGGTTGTCATTTCGCTTTAAAAGCATATCATTTTCATTGAAATATCCTATATATTTAAGATTCGAATTAAAATTTCTGGAAACAGAAAATAACACTATAAATGTCGGAAAAAGAAATTCATAAGCCTCCATAAATATTATCCCATTTAAGTAATCATCTTTGAAAAATTAACGTGACTGATAACTTTATTTTCAATTAATTTAACGTCCGCTTGGACATAATCGCATAACAAAATACAAAAGACTTTCCTAACCAAATTTATAATTTTTGATAAACACAGAAATCTGTAATGCAGACAATTCCATTTATAAAATCTAATCATACCTACAAAAAAGAATTCTATTTGGCTAATAAATAAAATAATAATAAAAGAAAATCAGCCAAAAAGAAATAAAACATGATTTCATCGATAACTATAGTTTCTTAAATACCTATGCAAATTTGATGTTTCCAAAATGTTCGATAAATACAGTAATCAAAGGAAATCCAATAAATGTAATAATAATGGATCCAACCTAACCAAAACATTTCGAAGCCGAAGCAACTGTTCCGCTCATCGACATAAGAACTATAACCGTCATTCGGGCTCTATAAAGCTGGCATCCTTTTATAAAAAAAAGGGAAAAAAAAAACATGTATTAAATACAGCATTACGAAAAAATTGAAACAAAATCAGAGAACCAAAAAATGAAACTCCCTCTCCTCTACTCTCTCCATATTATATTGGATTTCTGTTTCGTTCGAGAGATCATCATCGAAGTTTACGGAAGTCTTCCCCCTGTCTATAATACGAATCCGAACAAAGCAAAAGAATGAACTCAGCGCGTGTTAGGCGGCGAATCCTCTCAACTGAGGTACTAAAAAAAAAGAGAGAGAGAAAGAAAGAAAGAAAAAAAATGGAGGGGATTGAAAGAAAAAGAGTCCAAGGGGGAACAAAAAAATAAAAATAAAATGGGTGGGGCTTTGAGGGAAAAGTGCGCTACGAAATGAAAGCAGTGCGGAGATGACTCCCCCATCCCACCCCACCTCAATGTACTCGAATTTTCCCGGTCCGCAGAAGGTCAGCAGCGTGTCCCCCCATAAACTGAACGCATCAGGTTCCACCCCATTAGGGGGCGGTCTCCATATCATAACATATACTTGTATAAGATAATTTCAAACACTATATTAATAACAAGAGTTTACACGGAAAAGGACATACTTAATCTATCAGTGCAAGCAAAGAAATGTACATTTTGGTGTCATCATATTCTTTCATTATCATCGATCGTTTAAGTGTCAAACATAAGGTTTTGAAAGACACACTTGTTGCTTTTAAAAAATTGTACATACAAAAGAATACTCTCAAGGAAATTTTTAAATACGGTGGACTAAAATATTCGAGGAGAAAAACAGATAAATGCACGAAAATAAAACACCATACTTCTGCATTTTTAAACACTTGTTCCATTTTATGATTAAAAAAGTAATCAAGGTAAATTGATCGTTTTAAGAGAGAAACTACAAAACCACATAACTGTAAATGGTATTAAAAATTAAAAAGAACCATTACACTGAAAAGTCAGGTCTTTGCATTTAAAAATGGCTAATCTAATTTTGCTAAAAGAAACTTATGAATTCCAACAATCTAATAAACAAGGATACAAAACAGTACACCAGTTTCCAAACTCAAATATTTGCATAAAGAATATGAAATCAAATTCTATTAATGTAATAATGAATAAATCAACAGTTGAAAACAATACACTGAAGAAATGATATAATAGTAGAAGAATAGGCAGGCACATGTGAGAATTCGATCGTTACAATTTAAATAATATCTGTCAAAAATTACATTTCAATAAATGCAAAAAATAATCAAAAAATTGAATAGTCTCTTTTTGAAACACTAATTTAGAATAAATTCGTATTACAGTAGATGCAAAAGATTTTTTAAAAAATTGAATATTCTCTTTTTGAAATATAAAATATGATTAGTTCTTCTAATGATATATTTAACAATAATGTAACTTGACTAGCATGAATTTTCCATACACGAATGGTAACAAACAGGTCAGATACTACAAAACGGAATAACAGCTTTTACTTAAAAAGAGTTCAGTTTTTCAAGACCAATCATGCGATGTGCGATCTATAGATAAAAATGCTTCTCACTAGATCTTAGATTATCAGATGACGAAAAGTTAGTTAAATAAAATTATAATTTTATTGAGAACGTAATATCATAATCACAAAAAGGCCACTCGGTTCTATGCTCAAGACAAGTAGAGGTCTCCTCATTTATATCTAATATCCATATAAGTAGATAATTTTGATGCCTAGAAGAGTCTCACAAGAGATCAATGAATATGTAAAAGTGTAGTTAAAACTCCGACTATATAGCTGTAACAATTAAAATAACTTTACAATTCAATTAACCGCGCGTCAAATATACAATAATTCACAGTAAAAAAAATCTTTAAAAACCATAATACATAACTGTTGAATCAGTCGGGGGTTAAAAAAAAATTCGAAATGAACTAGTTTATTATTATATGTTAACTACACAGTATACCTCTGTGAATTATATTTTAAGTTCTAAGAGAATAGTTTAATTCTAATTCATACGCAAGTCATTTAAATGAAATTACAGTTTAATTCAGAGCAACTTTTTAAGCAATTACGGGCATGAGAAAGTGAAGATAGCAGCCGAAGAGAGTACGAATTTATAGAACAAATCCGGATGGTTTGCCTGGATGAAATCGATGCCCGGGCATAACAGGTAAATATTGATACCTCTTCCATTTCGGAGCAAAATCTAACATCTTCAACCGTTATTTACACGAAACTGTCATCTGATTTGACATCACAGGTATAAAAAATATGAGCAAGAATTAAAACTACTTAAACACTCACCTCGAACAAGATTAGTGAAAGAAAAAAAATTCTGCCGGTTTGTTTCTACCGGCGTCAACGATTAACGAGTGGAAACAAACGCCACTTTTACCAAGAAAACTAAGCACAAATGCGCACGCAGAGCTAATGCCCGCTCTTTCTTTGCTTTAGGAATACTCATCCGAAACGCTGTTTGACGTCACGCTGGACGAAGTATTACAGCGCCATCTGTTGACGAAATATTAAACTTTCCGGATATTTGTTTCCAAATATTAAAAAAAAAATTTTTTTGATGGAACAAAATGCTTTATAGCGTACCAAAACCAACGAATTACTTATTAAACCAATGAATTATTTATTAATATTTTTAAAACCAATGAATTATTTATTAATATTTTTAACTCATTTCACTGAGAGAATATAGTGATTTACATTTGTTTTCGGATACTTGCAATTTTTAGCTCTATTTGCAAATATCAGTCCCTAATTATTAGGAAACGCATTTTATTTTCTTTCACATACATCATCTATTTTAAAACTTGCTTATTTTGAAAAATGTCATTCAAAACATTTTTGGTAAAATAATAATAATAGTAATCTATTCAAAAAGTTCTGAAAATAAACAGACATAAGTATTTGAACTCTTTGAATAAACAGTCTGTAGTTAATAAAAATATCAAAATAACAGAACATTCAGTATTTTGTTGGGTAGCCTTTAGCTATCCAACAAAGTTCCAAAAATTTTTTATTTCAAAATATAAACTATTTTATTTCTACTCTTCCAAAAATTTCTCTTAAGCTTAAGCTTACTTAAGCTTTCTGCCTTCATATAAAGGGCTGAATAGATTTAGGCTTAAACTGACAAAAAAGACCATTTCTTGAAATAAGAATGCAAGAAAATTGCACAGTTGTCTCATATTTTTTGAGTTTATGATTTGCAAAATATTTTTCATCTTAATTGCGTATTCCTATAGTTAAAAAACGTGCAATGTTTTATCTCATCACTTCTTGAATAGCTATTATAAACAAAGTTCATTATGCTTGTGATGGTAATTAACGTCTTTTTGTAATACATTATTAACCGAGGATTATTTTACAAAAAAAGCATAATAAAACACAGCGCAATGTTAATTTAAAATAATAATGTGTATTCTATCTGAATATATATATATATATATATATATATATATATATATATATATATATAAAGTGGGACATTAGGTAAGAGATAAATAGCGCTAATAGCTGCTATTTAGCATATCAAATGTTGTATGAACTTAAATCCAATATTGCGAATACAAGTTATTATTACTTGCGCAATACGTTTAGGAAAAAATTATATATGTATAATATATATATATTACATTAAAAGAAATTTTAAAAAAAATGTTCATTCTTGCAATATGAACAAAATATGAATAAAATACAATGATACTAATCATAGCGACCATCTTTGAAAGTGAACAATATATCTGAAAATATAATTAAAAAATCTGATGTCTACACCTCATGACTTCCTTGTGAGGAATATTAAAAGCGGTACTTAAACAACTTTAAAATTGTTGATAATTGTACAAATATTGCATACAGATTTACTAAAGGCATAAAAACCTTAACCAGAAGATAAAAACAACATAATTCAATCATTTTTAAAGCAAAAAATGTACAATTTACAAACATATAAGAGTAAAGAAACTGAGATCACTGAGCCGGGTAACACAGTGGATATATATATAAATATATTTATATACGTTTGGTGCAGCCGATTGCAACCAAAATACGAGGTGCACGTCTACATGTTATAGCAGTCCTATATACAAAATTTCAACGTTCTGAGGCTACTCGTTTTTGAGTTATGCGAGATACGTACGTACGTACGCATGTACGTACATACGTTCGTACAGAAGCCACGAAAAATTCTCTTCAGAATTAATTTTAAAGCAGTTTTATAACTTTTTTGGAGGAAACGAGTCTTTTATTCTGTCCTTACGTACAGATATCACGCAAAAACATCGTTAAATTGCATTCGATAGCGGTCAAAATAATAGATATTTTCGTTGAAATATACTGCCTGAAACTTTTCGCGATTACAATACTTCCTTTTTACTTCGTACAAGGAAGTAAAAAGAAAAAAGAAATTTCAAAAGTTTCAGATTTTAAAGGCTGCCCAAAAGGCTTTTAAGCTTTTTTACGCTGTTGCTGTGCTTGCAGTCTATGCACTTACTCCTACTAATCCCTTTTTTTTTTTTTTTTTTAGCTTTATTCTTAAGCAATATTTTCTTCCCATTTACGCCATATACAATTCAACAGAAAAATAACATTTTAAAGGCAACATAGTAGTATATGTTTAGAATTCTCGATGCAGTGTTAAATGTTGCCATACATTTTTTTATTTATTTATTTATTTATTTTTTTAAGTCTTCATATCAATATTCTTTTTTCTTAGTAAGACGAATAACAAAATTTTCTTTGGCCTTTTTATTATTAACTTTTTATGTGCTGACTTTATTAAATATCACCGTTCGTCGCCCTTGCACCACATAAAATTCAACTCCGCAACAAAAATCACAAAATATTTAAAAATATCTTTTGGATTTCCGATAGACAGTCTCGAGCGCTGGAGACAAAAATGTTTTTTATCGTACAGTGTTACCATTGCTTGCTTTGAAGTCGCTGAGCTTGTTAATCAAATATTCGTTAAAGTTTTACAAAATATAAAATAGACAATAAAACAAATCCAAAATTCCAGTTTTGGTTTTCCAGGCGCCTATATGCGGATGGAGGACTACGTTATTCAGAATTTGATGGCTCTAGATAACCATTATTTTTTAACAATGCGAGAATCATGCATACATTCATGCAGGTTTTTCAGTGTTTAATTTCTTTAAATTCAATGCAGAGTGATAATATTTGGTGGCAACAATTTGAAAAGTGACACTCCGTTTATTGTGATTCAACGCAGAATGTCGTTTCGAGACTTCATTCATATCCCATTCAGGACTAACGTCCCTTTTGCGCTAATAAAACAAATTCGAAATTCAAAATTAGGCTTCCAGGCGCATATGTTCAGGTGGAGGTTAACGTTATTCAGAAATGGATGGCCTTAGGTACTATCGTTTTTTCACAATACAAGGGACATACATACATACATGCAGATTCTTCATTATTAATTTCTTTAAAAATAATGCAGAGCGATAACGTTTAGTGGCAACAATTTGAAAAGTGTTACGCTGTTCATAGTGAACCAACGCAAAGTCCAGTTTCGAGATTAATATCCAATATTGGACTAATAATGCTATTCAAAAGCATTAATAATTCTCTAGGAACCTTTGCATAACACAAAATTATTCGAAACTGCTGGTGGTATTCTTAAATTTCATTGTTTTTAAATCGAACTTAAGTTTAGAATCTAAAAATAGGACATTTTATGAGTAAGCAAAGGAAACTTTTATATAGAAAATTTCTTTTTAAGACTTTTATAACTCATTATAAAAATAAGTGGCTGTTAAATATATTAAAAGGTTCTGAAACAGGGAGCATTCTCTTACAACACATCGGATAGCTTCCGATCACAAATAATAACTGGAAAACCAATTAATTAAAATACCATATACGTTAAAATAGATTTAGAACAGCAAGATGTAATCTATCGTTCAGTTAGCCCTTTGATGTTATATGGCACACATATATCTTGTACTTTTGATGGACCTGTTCACCAAAGGCTTAATGTTGCTGGATGCAGCCAAAATAATAGGTCCATAGGTAAGCAAGAATATCCCCCTCATTCTGCCAAAGGTTTTATCCCACCAATAAAACTGATAGCTTGACATCAATTTTTGTAAGGATTCGGATTTCCTAAATTTAAATTATTGTCTTCCTGGTCATAAATTCCGTATACATCAATTTATTACCAGGAAGATTACCAATGGAACATTGTAAAATAGGTTGTGAAACACAGTTAAAAGAGAAATTCCATCAGATTGGTTTGGAGGATTTCTACAAAACATTTGGACTAGAAGAAATATCCTGCATTTTAGAAGTATGCTTTATCGAATGACTGCTATATTTAGAAACACTTGTGAACAGCTTGTCGGGCGAAGCATATCAAATCACAGGTGAGAATACGAATCATTGATATTAATTAATTTCGAAAATTCTTTGCGTGTAGCAACAGCATCGGTCGATATCGACATTGATGTGTTTAATTCTCCCAAGCAAAAGTAGACTTCCATTGAAATTTACTATTTTTATTTTTGAAATCTAGCCCTTATTGAATAAATATATTTATTTCCCAATTTTGTTTTTAATGTCTTGTGCAAATTAATCGGGACAAAGCGATTTTTTCACAGAATTTAAAGTTGATTGCAAGCTGTCTCCAGCAGGTCTCTCAAAGAAGTTTCATCTGTTTTAAGGTCATCTGGATGTTTGCTTTCGACTGCCTAGAATTGCTTTAGACAATAGATTGCGTCATTTATAAACTTGTTTCTATGAGAAGACGAAGTCACTTTTGCATAGTTTTAAGTACATTTTGCATTCGTTCATTTTATCATATTAAAAAGGAATATAACACCTACAAAGAGTGGAAAGATTATCGAACTTAGCAGTCACATACTCGTGACTGTAAGACATATTGCTTCCGTACCTTGTGTTGGAAAATCGAGCGTTTTTCGAATTCTGAAGAGACACTATGAAACTGGATCATTTTCTTCAAAAAGGAAGGACAAATAGGAAAGAAAAAGAAAAACATCTAAAAATTCTGATCGGTTCCTATTCTGAAATAGCATTATTAATCCAACAAAAACCAGTCTCAAAAGAGCTAAAAAAACCTTAAAAGATATATATTATTTATTGGTATTGATATTCCTCCTTCAGATGTGTGGCGTAGACTTCTCACTGTTAGTCGAAAGGCGAGAAAGCCAATTATAAAAACAGCTTTTGGCATGTCAAATGAATCTATTATTGTCGGAAGAAAACAAAAAGTACAAATATTAGACCATAAATAACTGGGAAAAGGTCATTTTCAGTGATGTCAGTGATTAGACTCATTTATTTGTTCGGGTTACATATCTAACGTTGGCAGATGAAGCAGAGATGAATCCATAAGACCTCAACATATCCAACAAACTGTAAAATATCCACAGAAACGAATGTTTCGATATTTTTTCACTGTAGATTGCGGTAAAAGTCTAGTTCGTATTGGTGGAAAGATGAATTCATCGAAGTATAGAAGAATTTAAAAAAGATAATACCATTCTTGGAAATCTTTGAAGGCACATGTCAGCATAACTTGATTGTATGCGAAATCTGTCTCAAGTTTCATGCTAGAAAATAAAATTATTGAGCTGGACTGGCCTGGAAATTTATTAGATTTAAATCAGATGAAAAATTTGCGGCTCGTTCTCAAGAAATGTGCTAGCAAAATGGATTGTATGACAAAAGAGTTCATGATTAAGAACGTTATAATATTGTGATTCCATTATAAAAAATGTAAAACATATATGCACACTACCACTGCAGACAATGCCTAAGAACATTCTGGAGATCCTTTCTGCTGAAAAAGGACATATTGTCTATTAATTTTATGATTATCACTATATATGTATTATCACTGTACGTAAATTATCAAAAACATCGCTTCGTTCTAACTAATTTGCACAATATAGCATATTGTTGTATCGTTTGCTTTCATAATTAAAAAGAATTGATTCTGATCCTGCAGGAAATCTCATTTCTAAAATCTGGCTTGGCTGCTGAAGCAGTTGGCACCTATGCCCTAGAACCTCCTTGAGTTGCTGTCATTTAGTGAGGTACGCTTTGCAGTACTTTGTTTTATGGAAGGTCAGTTAGGAGAGATATTTCATCAGGTTTTGTGGTGATGTCAGCCAGTTCAATCTAATGTACTACTGTACCTAGGTACTCAACAATATATTTGATATCCTCGATTATGAAGTTCTTATTCGACTTACACATTTCGACCATCAACATGATAGTATCATCTAAAACAAACCTCTAGATTTTGAGAACAAATCGTAAGCAAGGTCATCTTAGCATAAACATAAGCTTAATGATTTTATAAAGTTCTGATGCTTTTGCCTATGCCAGTGGCATAGCTAGGGTTGGGCAAGGGGGGCACATCTGTCCTCGGGCGCAGCATTCAAGGGGCGCCAAATTGATGTTACGAAATTTTAGAATGAAATGTCTTCCATTCTTGGCACAGAGAAAGGGGCGCAAAATCTTCAGTCGTCCCCGGGCGATAAAAACCATAGCTACGCCTCTGGCCTATGCCGACGCTCTGAAGAATCAAAATAAATTTTTCAAAATTCGGGCTCCCTACAATCGCGAGTCCCCGAATAGTGGCCGTATGTTAAAACGGCTTAATAAAATCAGTGAAGGACAAGTATTTTTTGTGCTATTGTTTAGGCGTAAATCAAAAATATAAATTAGTAATATCTATAGAGATGATATCCCATGAGAAGCAGAAGAATTAGTACACTTATTTTAGCACTTTCAGTATTTTTAAACTCAGTCTTTAAACCGTTTCGATGGGAGAGTATTTTTTTCGTTTTTTACGAAAAATTTATCATTAAGCGTGGTATCTTAATAGTTTTAAAGATTTGATAAAAATAAAAAAATTAAGAAGTAAATGACAAAGTATAATTGTTTTCTCCCTCTTGTAAATATTTTCCGGCTTGTTAAATATTTTCAGTTCATACACAAAATTTCCTTTTCTGAATTAAATGCATTTTGTAATTATTTTATAAAATGATAAACAATAAAAATAGCAGAGTTATACAATAACGCAAGGAAGAAGAATTTTGTTCAGTGGCGCAAAAAGTAAGTTTATATAAAATAAGAGTCTGGAAGGCTATATAAAGACTGAGTTCAGTTGTGGGCTGTACTGAAAGTTTGAAACATAGCTCCCATGAATGCAACCAATTTGAGACTTCTGAGTTCTTGGTAACATTTGTCGAATTAAAGTACATGTTTCCATCGCTTATGCTTTTTTAAACTTGTCGTTTAAATCAGTGCTACCGTCTGGCAAGATTTCTGCTACGCTTTTCAATTTTTCAAATTTTCGGGAACCGTTTCGATCACGTGATTCGACAACTTTTCAGAGATTTTTATTACAATTCAGAAATTTTCAAATAAACTGAAAATTTTGATTTACGTGCATGAAATTTATTCGACTTGTTTAACCAGTTAATTTATGTTTTGGATCTTTACTGTCTCTTCTCTCTTACCCTTTTACTGCCAGAATGCAAATTAGTTCGCTTGTATATAAATAAGACTGGTTTGAGACTGGTTAATTCAGAGCGTCTTCTGCTTCGTGAAAGCCACATTGCTAGGTTTCCTATTCTAGATAAGCGTTTCTATCTTCGACGTTGCATTAAATCTTGTCGATGGTTAATTTCACGCCTGTGAAATCCGAACCAACTTCTGGATTAAACTCCTCAACTTTGAGTTTCTTGCCATAAATGCTTTCGTATTTGTAGGCACTAGGTGTGTCTTCTGCACTAGGCACTAGGTGTTCATCCGTTTAAGTTTAAAACAAAGGGTCTTTTACACCCTTCTTAAGTCTATTGTACTTAGACTTAAGCCGCTTTACGTCTATCAAAGTTTGGGTCACAGTTTACAGTAATGAAAGACGTTAAACCTTATAAGTGCATTAACAATTTAAATTTCTGCGTAAGGAATGATAATGTTGCTTGTTCTTCCCTTTAGCACTGACTGTTAAGCAATTTGTTTGTTGCATTTTGTATCCCTTCTTTAACAGAGTGCTAATTTTTTAGAACGTAGCCATATTTGGTAAAATTTTAGGTATTGACTAATGAATCATAATTAAAATCAAATGACTCAATTTTATTAACAAGAGGAAACAAGAAATACAGTTTTCAATGCCTTAATAAATAAGAATATATAATTGTCTTACATATTTTTACTCACACATACTCACTTCATACATATTTTTCCATTATTATGATGCTGATCAGACTTATATTTTCACTTGCAATGTGTAAAACGGTCATTATATTAATGAGTCAAGAAGTAACATATTAGATTTTTGTTAATTATTTTTTTTCATCACATATTTTTTTCCCTGGCACTTGGTTTTTCAGCATTGGCCGCGCTAAGGCCAGAAGTGATGGTCATTTTATTGTGGAGGCACTTTACATTATTAACTTTTATGTATATTCCTCTAATACTGAAACTAACCATATTTTTTATAATGCGCTATACATACTGTAATACTTTAGTCGTATTTAATAGATATTTTAGTGAAAAATGTGAAAAAAATTTCTTTTTCATTCATCACTATCGTATGTCTGCGTTTCCAATACTGGAAAATTGTGTAAATGTACTAACACTGAATAATATATATTAAAGTGTGCAACTGAATTCAGCTAACAGAACAAGCATAATTTTAAGCATTTCAAGTGATGAAGCTCATAAATGAAAGAATTTAAATTTGATGTAATAATTGTTGCATAAAGCAGACATTTATTATATACAGTCTTACACGTATTACAGCAAATAACTAAAAGTTACACTGAAATTTCATAAATAGATGTTTGTAACACTGAAATACTAATAAATAGTTAAAAAGAATGTGAATCAAAAAGTACATGTTTTAATAAAAGAATCCAACGTATTGTCAAGTCTCTACTTGTATGACGTAGACATCATTGTCAGAACCAAAACAAATATTGGCTACATAAAGAAGCGGACTGCTTTTGGGTAATTCTCTTGCAAAATACACCGCCCCTTTTAGATTACGAACGGAACCCAAAGTCTGAAAAAAAAAAGTACACAGAAATATTTCTATATTTTAGGATAAGTTTCGCTTCATTTATTAAAGTTTCTGTTTTCTGATCTATACTGTTATGCGTTAGAAAATAGGTTGCAATGTGGAAAATAAATCCTACAGAAAGATTTCTGAGATTTCTTTAAAATTTTAATTTTCATTCTATGAACTCAGAAATATTTTTAAACCGCTGCAATTTCAATTACAACAGAATCCTGATAGTCTACGAACGTTTTTACTCTATTAGTTCTTCAACGATAAATTCTTTCAGCAAAAGTCTGATTCTGATTTTGATGTTCAGTCTGATTTTGATTAAATATTGGCACATACGATAGAAAAAAATTTCCAGTGTAACTTATTGTTGATAGAATATTAATAATTACCCTTGAATTTTCTAACGACGCTACTACAGAGTATGTTGACACATTTTTAGAACGACTTTGTTAAAGAATTTTAAAAAAAGCAATGAGAAATATTGTCTGCAGCTTTAAAACTGATCCTTCTTTCAAAATGTATCATATAAAGAAGATGTGGATCAGAGGATATGTCTTTACGCTTTCCGGAGAAAACTATTTCTATTCCATAATTCGAAAACGTTGTAAAAATGCACGGTATTCAAATTTAGAAGTGCAAAATAAGGAACCTTATTTATCGAAAAGGAAAAACCGTCAGTCTTCAACATGGAATACCAGAAAAAGGTACTTACTGTTTCTAAAGTTAAATCATGGGTGACAACAGAAAATTCCGCAGACTCAAATCAAGTGAAAAGTCCTTAAATACATCTGCAGCAATAATACATAAAATAACAAACCGAGATTTTCAGTTTAAAATCTGAGAAAAAATGAACTCAGTTCACCAGCTTGCTTTTGCCGAGGCATACGGGTCAAAGTAAGATTTTTTGTACGAACCTGTATGAAGATGCTTTAGCGGGAGATAAATGGAAATACATAATGACCTTTGATGAAGGACGAGTTTGTCTAAATGACTGCAATAAAAAAAGAGTATTTACTATCGAAAACGACGAGAAAAAAATTTACAGACGTAGATCAGTCAATGTAAGGAACATTTTAGTACAGGGCTCAAGACTGTGGCAGAGTTCTCTCACAAAGTAAAAATAGTGGAAATTTTTTTTTAAATCAGCTCAAAGTATTATCAAAAGAAAGTTTAATATCCGATACTTACATACAAAATTGCATTTATTTATCCCAAGGACATTCAAAGAATGAAACTTCATCAAGACAAGCCTAAAAGTATATCTCTCATATATCATGTATATCTTTTCAACTTATACCTGCGAAGTCCTCCGATTTTTCACCTACGGACTGTTTTGCCTCTGCTCTCTTGAAAAAAACCCTTTGTAAACGCAAACTTCTACGTTTGATGAACTCTAGAAAGTAGTTTAAGAGAAATAAAAATTACTAACCCTAGAAATTTTACGAAAAGCCCTTCTATCATGGTAATCACCATGCAGACTTACAGATCATCAAAAATGCTATCAGAGCAAACATTTTAAAAAAATACTCTTCGCATTTTAAAAATCAAACAGTGCCGAAATCGCTTTAAAAATGTGTAAACTGTCTCTGCATTTTCATTAAAAGTAGAGTTACGTCCCTCGAGATCTGAACCTTCCACTGCATCTTATTTCAAACTATTGCTTAGTTGCTTTTTAAATTTCATATTAATTTTTCTGCTGATGCTTCTTTGAAAAACTATTGATGCCGACAACGTTACACTTTTCAAATTATTGATATTGTCTACAATTAATATGTAAATACAAAGCCTGCTTAGTAGGTAGCATTTCTGTGAAACTCTAACGTACAATGAATCATACAATTTCTTTGCTATCACATATAATCTTAAGTCTATAAATAGACGGAATTGGCATAAGTCGAGAGTCGCAAATTGGAAATCTAAGTTGCAGTGGTAATAATAATGCGACAAAATTATAATTTTTTTTAATCTTAGAGAAAAGGGGGTTAAAAAAGCTCCTTACAAATTTTAGTTGTTATTTTATCAAAAGACAATACCAGACAGCTAGAAATATATAAAAATAATAAATAAACGCTTTCATACCGTACGAGTATTAACATCTATTATACGTAAGATATTCTTGTGGCTTCCGCCTACCAGAAAATAGGCTTCTGATTCCACGTATCTGCAGAAGTAGAGCTGAAATAATGAAAAGGACGTTAATTAAAAGAAAAGGACGTTAACCATGAAGCTTAAATTTCTAATAGATATTAGTTTCAAAGAATAAATAAACATTCGTATTTAGCCTCTGATTCATTTAAACTTAAGACGACAAACAATTAAAATGACAGATTACATTTTCACGTTTCGGAAAGTAAATTTTTTGCTTTCTAAAGTATTCCTGGCAGCTGACTATCATAAGTAAGTAACCTTATTGTAACTGGCAATCTTTACACCCTTTAGCTTTTTTTTATATATATAAGTACTGTACAGTTGTTTGTAAATCAGGTTATACGTGACCTTTTCTTTTTGCACAGCTGATCAATTGCTTTTATTAAGTTCTAAAAATATTATTCAGATAAATTTCATTTATGTAATTTTATTTACTTATGTGAGGAACAGACTAATGCAATGGTCTCAAACTGGCGGCCTCCGAAGCAATTTTATGGGGCCCGCGAATGCATTTACCTTAAAATAATTAGCATTATTATGACAAGAATTTTGAAGGAAAAGTTTAAGATTTTAATGGTTTGGCGTTCAGGTTTACATTATTTTCACTACCAAAAACAAACATGAGTAGCATTTCGAAAAATGTAGAAATGCAGCTAATTAATTTATATTGTAATATAAATATTATTCAAAGATTAGAAGATATAAATTTCATTAATTTTTATTAATGTTATTTATTTGTTAAAAGATGAATATCCTTTGTTACGAATTTTTGCAATAAGAATAATCGCTTTGCTTGGGAGTAACATTTACATGTGAACAGTTCCCCCCCCCCGATTTTCCAAGATTACAAATTCTGTGAAACTGAAACGCCATGAGATGTCGCAGCTGAAATCGTTGTCAAAAACAATGAAGTTTCTGATTATTTATATAATTTTTTTTTGTTCGCGTCACAGAAAAATGTAATAAATAAAAGAAAGATAATAGATCTTTTTTTTTTTTTGCTTATTACGTGCTCCGCCCTTAGGCACTACACGGTAAGGGATTGATAGTCTTTTTAAGGGAAACTGGCTTATATCCACGTAATACGTGGGGAAAACCACGAAAACGCCCATGCAGTCTGCCCGTTCACCGGAACTCGAACCCCGGACCGAACTACCAGTGTTCAGTGGCTTTTACCGCTCGGCCGCTGGTGGACAAGAGACAATAGGCTGTCATTATTTATTCTCTAGTTTTGTCTCTCTTGAGAGTTTTCTGAATATTTCGTTTTAGTTCAAGTTTAAAAAAAAATTATTTAGTGCTTACTTCAACATATTTAAATTATTTGAATAGATATCAGTCTGAAAATTTTAATATTTACCTGTCAAATACGCTTCAATTACAAATTGTGGCTAACGAAATTTCTCGCAGATACCAACTCTTCGATTTCAGCAGAAAATAAGTATAAATTTGAATTCATGTGAGTCATTTTATATGCATTTCGTGACAAATGTGTAGCAAAAATGTATGGAAATTTAATAATAAATTTTGCGTTGCTAATTTTTTTAATTGCCGCCCGTTAGCTATTTTAAGGTCGTGCATTTGAACAGAGTGCAGTTTGAGTTTGAGGCCACTGGACTAATGATGTTACTTTAAAATACAATTAAAAAAGTCTTGCTTTACCTGTGTATGCTGCTATTTTCATAACAAAGTCAAAAATTTCCTAAATTTTTGGGAAACTACTGTAAATATCCGCGCTTCATTTTAATTTTTATTAAGAAAAATAAAACAATGACCAAAAGCAGTTTTTTAAAGCTTGTTGTAGTTTTTATTACAATAGGCATTATTTTAATATTTTTTTCTTTTAAAAAGAACCTACATTAAGAAAGCTATTTATAAAAAAATTATACTATCTTTTTTTCTCTCACAAAGTGCATTATTTTCAAGATTCAAAATATAGCAAGGGAAAATTATTAATAGAAAAATCATACTGCCTTTGTTTCGATTGTAGAAAGACATAATATTATGTAAGTTTTAGGGTTTCTATTGCAACTGGAAACTGAGGATAAAATCCTACTACCTTACTAGAAGATAGGGAGTTATTGCTACGTCTTAAACAATTCACCAAATACTGAAGAAAGTTTTCAAAACCCTTTTTGATTTAGTCTTAGATTGAACAAAAAGGCTCAGCTTGTGCTATTTATATTTAAATCAACATAACAGGCAATCAAATCCAAACGTTAATAATGTTGTCAAAGACCACACATTACAGAGACTAAAATAAGTTGGGTCAGAATATTTTATCGTCGCGTAATTTAAAACATCGGCTAGCGAGATGCTAAAGCCGGAATATAACTTCACATGCGCAGAGCTGGCGGAAACACTATTGCAAGACGTGGATGCCAGAAGCTCTAAATTAAAGTTTCAAAACTCTCAGCTTAAGTATTCTACAAGTTAATTTGCATTCTAATGAGGAATATGGAAAGAAATTAAAGGCAACATATTAATTGATATAAGGTACTTTACAAAGCAATAATATTCAAAAGACAATTTTTATTAAATGAGACGAAAAAATAAATTTACAACAGTTTTAAAAATCCTTTTATGGTTTTAGTATTGACAGAAAAATTAATCAAAATGATTATCAAACGTAATAAACAATTTCTGTTAATAATATTTCTAAAAATAAATCTCACAAGTTTCTAAAAAATGTGACAAAATTTCTATGTAGAAATGAATGTGTTAAAAATTTATAGCAGAACATGCATACAGTTTTCTTGCTGTGCAGTATAATGGCAGGTACTCTGCAACAAATAATCCCGCAAAATGACGAATTCAAAAGTTATTCTATTTCACAAGGGGGCAAAGAAATTTTATGGAAAAGAAGAGATTTTATTTTAACTGCTGTTTATAAAAATTTATTCTGAAGGGGGGGAAGGAACATACATTTGACAATAGTCGTTTTAAAAAGTGCGTCACGATAACGCTTAGTATTTTGTACATAAATATGATTGATAGGACGTATGGATTCAAGAAATTACAATTTTTTCAAATTCAATAAATAAAATAAATAAATTCATTAAGAAGCTTTAAAATAAATTTTGTAAAAAATTGAATTCTTAGGAGCAATATTAAACTTCGTATCTCCCGAAATTTACCAAGCCCATAAAGTTTTAAGACAAACAATTTCGGAAATTTTTTTTGACATTTATACATTAGTTCCCAAATCTCATTTAAAAAGAAACCAAACTCCTTCATTTTCATAACAGTAAATATGTATTTAATTTACATAAAAAAGACAATTCAGTTATCCGTATAAGCTAATGACGCAACTAATATGAATAACTGGAGTTTTACTGAACTTTGCTGGTATTCTCTTAGACATATATAAGCTTACAAAAGAAGCTAAGCTTAATTAAACTGAACTTACGAATGAAGTCAGTTCGTCAGGATTAATGTTCTGAATTAACTTCCCGCTTCCATAGTCCCAAACCTAAAACAAACGCAAAGATTTTACTAATAATTCTTAAACATTTCTCAATTAGCATAATAAAAATTCGTTATCAAGTGCGACATAAAAGATTTTTACGTTTTAAATTGAGTTAAAATGGTGTTAGAAACATCTTTTATTAGTTATAAGAAAGCCTCAAACATTCATAAAAATTTTTGTTTGGATATATCACAATATTAAATATATTTTATCTCCTGTTAGGGACTTGTAGGAAGAACAACATAAAATGCAATTAAAAAGACAGTTTTATACCATAAGCTTACGACAATTAATGTACTAAAAGGAGAAGAATAATTTATCGTCCAGTTTAATGCGAATAATAGATGAAATAATTCAATTGACAGAATTCATCTATAGTTTTTATAGCGAATGATAAAAGCATGATAAATTTTATACTAATTATAGAATGACCTAAAATACGTAAATAAAGAATAATGACCTAAAATATACTAAATGAATTTGGTGTACCGTACAATAAGCATTTGTGGAGAAATCTCACAAAAATAATCCAAAACATTAAAAATAATTTTAAAAAAATAAAATATCACGAAATATTTTGCAATTTACTAGAATTAAAATTATTCGGAATTTTCACTTGGCTTCGTAAGATGTATATCTTTTTTTTTTTTTTTTTTTTTGGTATAAGTGTAATATTGGACCAGCTAGGTTCTAGATTTGATGGCAGTTCCCATAAGTGAGCTTCGCATTATGTATAAGACATCCTATATTTGTCTCCGATAAACGGTGGACGGTGTAAATATTATGTCACGTACACCTGCATAATTTGCAGTTCAAAGTTTTAGCTAAAAGCAAGTGTCTCTTTGAGCTTTCTAGAACACGGCATTTAGAAAAATGGAACGCCTAAAATGTAGTCTGAAGAATAACGAGATTTGCAACTGTAGAAAATCAAAGATCATTCTTCAAATTAAAAAGTTTCAAAGTTCTAATATAACTGAGAATACCGTAAAGTGTGCGGTTAACAGATAATAAATCGTAGTACAATGTTTTGTTGAATTATTAATTTTCTTGAAGGATTATTAATTTCCTTTCTTCTATCAGGGATAGAGGATGAATGTAAATCAAGAGGACGAGAAACGTCAACAGTTTAAAGACGGGTAACACTTGTGTTGCTCTATAATGGAAGAAAAGCGTTCAGCAATAAACAGAGAAATGTCGCAGGTTATAGCGATATCATCAACATCGTTATATCGTATTTTGATCAAATCGTTTTAGAAAAGAAAAATTTGCACTGTTTGGTTCCATCATGGTTTGTTGCAACATTACTGAAATGAATATTTGACATTGAAAGATTTCTGCGTACTTTAACCACTCTAAGCTAAACACGGATTAGAGGCATTAAGCAGACTTGAAATCTGTCCAGACTTATCCGTCAAGTAAAGAAGACTATCCTCTTGTAGGACCTCAAATTTTGACATGCACAGTCTTTGTGATATAAACGATGACCTCTGCCGAGGATTATCAAAGAATCCTTAGGAAAGAGATAGTTTCATATTGCTACCTGTGGTCGCGATCGTACTTGTTTTAAGGATCGGCTGTTCATTCTGAATAGGCTAATACCCACTTTTACTTGAGGAAGTTTTGAGAGATATGCTGACGAAGTGGAAAGTTTAACTTCACCCAACAAAAATCTATGCATGAGCTTACCATATATTATAATCTTTCTCAAAATTTTATTCAATGGGAACACTTGCGTAAATAGTGTTAATCTTCCCTGAATCAAAGAACGTCTATATAAAGAACGAAAGGCTTCAGTTTGTCTTCTACGCCGCTAGAAAGAAGAGGGAAAATTCGCCAAGGGATTTGGCGACAGAACTTGTTGGCGAGAATTTCCCTCTCTGTGATTCATCACAGACCTGGCAAAGATTTTCCTCCTCCGCCACGTATATAGGAAATGGAGGAACACGGGTTAAGCTGAATAAGAAGATTAGGTGAAGTTTCACTTTCACTGGCTGTTCAACTTGCATTATCCATATCGTAGGTTGATGTCTGATTTTATATCCGTCAATATGGAAGGAAAAAATGGAGTCACACATCTTTAAACTCTTGATAAAAGTGACCATCAAACCTGTTCTAACTTCGACATCAGCTTCGAGCTTTGGCGCTTTTTGGCGACAGATATTTCACGCATGCGCAGAATTGTTTCCCTTTTCGTTCGAAGAGAGCCACTCCTGCTGCTGCGAAGTTTTCCTTCTTAATAAAACATATTCTTTGCCCGAAATAAGTTTCTTCAGTGATTATCCAAGCCATTAGAAGCCCGAACAACGTGCATTGCTAATAACCAGTGACAGTAGATCGCGGCTATTGAGAAACAAAAGAGCTACGCAGAACAGTCATGAGAAGCTGCCTCAAACAAAATAAACCTAGGACAGAAAAAGTTAGTGCGCATTGTAGAGACATTAGGTAATTTTTGAAAGCAGAATATGTGAAAAAAGGAGCAATGCCCTCGCCGGGACTCGAACATTTCGAATACGCGTCGAGCGTGCTGACCGCTACACCAGGAAGGCATGCTAAGAATCCGGGAAAAATAACCTTATGGCATTACATTCTAAATAAATTTTGTATCTGTATTTTGTGCTACACCGATCGCTGATAACCATTCCAAAAGCAACAGGATTACGTTAGTGATTCATAGAATCGAAACTATTTGCCATTTCGTTTCAAACTGTGTCAGTTAGCACACGGTGGACAGTTTGAAATGGATTAAATTAATATACACAAATGTAATTAGAAATATTAAATTATGGATTTCTGAATAAGCATGCTGTTAAATGATTTCTGTTTTAAAATGTAATTATAAATTATTCTTCAAAAATGAATCTCAACAATAACAATGTAAATGTCACTCTTTCGGACGCAGATGCCATAGTCAAATACAGATCGAAGGATCATTCAGTTCAAATAAAGCACCAGCTTCATAACAACAATGGAGATAGACTTATAACTAAAAATACAGACAGACTTAGAACTGGCCATCACAGATGATTGAGAATTGACAGAGAGGGTAGGAAAAACCTGCAGAAACTGTAATAACTGCCCGGGCATAGAATTCACAACAACACACAAATGTACACATTTTTGATTGGCCGGCCAACTGTGCTGAATTGTTAAAAAGTGGTATCTTGTTTAAGAGAGCGATCTTCTGCACTGACAACATTTTGCAGATTTCCGGGGCTGTCATCTTCACCCATGGCATGATTTGAATGTCTTTCACCATAGACAGGACAACAACATACTTCGTAAATAAAATTACTGTATGTTGAAAGCGAGTCTCGCAGAGCCGTATGCGGCTCGTCAGCCTAAATATTTCATTAATCTGTAATTTTCTATTACAAACAAAATTTGCTGGAGTTTTACTTAAAAGTTTTTACCCAGGAAATTATCACAAATGTGTATTTTAATAAATGACATTACGAATTTAGTGACGCCAATCCCGCGAATTAGTTATCAGATAAAAGAACTGCAGTAAAACTGGATGAGAGAATAATCGCTTTAATTCAGGAATAGAAACGCAAACTCACGAAGGGTTTAACAACCCTTTATTGCTCAAAATAAAGACTGACAGATGATCCTTTTTCAGGATGTACAATAAAGCCTCCACTTGGGCTTAAACTCAGAAATATAAGAAGTAAGAACTAACTAATGACTAACTAAAGAGATTTAGCCGAAGCTGACACAGTTTCTAAACTAGTTGGCCCATAATATTAAAAAATCTGATGTGTATGCCACATGACTTCCTTGTAAGGAATATTAAATTATACGTATTTTTTATTCCATTTCATTTAAACTTATTGGATTGAATTAAATCTACTTCGCCGAGAGCGCATATACCACAATAGAATAAATGCATTCTTTAAAATTCCTTCTATTTGTTTACCATAGCGACAGTCTGGCGCTAGGTTCACTTAACAGTATTATATTTCGTTCATATTATAACTCAGAATGCACAAAATTTTTATCATTTAAAGAATTATCGAATCGTTGCCACATGTTCTATTCAAATACTATAATAAAGTTAGAACGATGTATAAAATAAATTAAGCAAACAAAACCAAAAATAAAAAGTTTCTCACAGACGATTGAGTATTTCTCATTCAATTAATTCAGTTCTCACTTCGCGACAAAGCAAAAATACATAAAAACTCAAAATATCTGTATTACAAATTACGAAGTAAATCTTAAACACTTATTTCCTCGAAAAAGTTCCAGACATGATTAAGCATGATTTAATTCGCAAAATAAACGAAGGCGTTATCTTTGTTGTTGTGAATCTAAGTTTCTCTAGATTGGCACTATCCTGCTGTTTCAAATGTAAACAAGCAGTGGCCGCCATCAAAAAACATTATTAGGCTTAGCGGCACTTAAACAACTTTAAATTGTTGATAATTCTAAAAATATTGCATACAGATTTACTAAAGACATAAAAACCTTAACCGGAAGATAAGAACAACCAGAGTCGTAGCTAGGGTTTTCAGCGCCCAGGGACAACTGAAGATTTCGCGCCCCCTACTGCTTGCCAAGGATGAAAAACATTTAATTCTAAAATGTCGCAACATAAGTTTGGCGCCTCTTGGATTCTGCGCCCGGGAACAGATGCCCCCTCTTGACCCCCTCTAGCTACGCGCCTGAAAACAACATAATTCAATCATTTTTAAAGCAAAAAATGTTCAATTTACAAACATATAAGAGTAAAGAAACTGAGATCACTGAGCCGGGTAACAGAGTGGATATATATATACATATAGTTATATACTTTTAGTGCGGCCGATTGCAACCAAAATACGAGGTGCACATCTACATGTTATAGCAGTCCTATATACAAAATTTCAACGTTTTGAGGCTACTCGTTTTTGAGTTATGCAAGATACATACGTACGTACGCACAGACCCCACGAAAAATCCTCTTTGAAATTCATTTTAAATTAGTTTTACAATTTTTTTTGGAGGAAAAGAGTTTTTTATTCCGCCTAACAAAATTGTAAGCTGAAGCTAGAAGAGATGGTAAAGTAGCATGAACTTAAAATAACTGTTATAAACTTAGGATATACCTTACACGCTATTTAATTGCTTACCTGCAAAGGATCTTGCTTCCTCCATGATGCCGTGACTACCTTATTGTCACCAAGAAACTCAATTCCATTTCCACAGATGTGTGGTCCGTATATTTTCCTAAAAATTAAGTTCCTTTAATAAAAAATAATATCTCTTAAACGAAATCTTGAAATAAATCTTAATGTGCTTACGTATGGATCTCAATCACTTAAACTTTACATACATATTCAACTATAATTTAAAGTTCTGAATATGAAAACCTACATTCATGGACTTAATCATTTCCCCAACGGTTGTGAAAAAGAAAAACGGAATTTGAGTTGCGAATTTTCGTACGAAAAAAAGGAAATTGATGATTTGGTGTTACATCCTTTTCAGTTTAGGCTAAGCGTAAGGTGCAAAAGATTCTCTAAAACAGTATAATTGCTAAATGGATTTTCACGTTATCAAAGGTTAATTAATGATATTAATTTCAATCCATTTCTTCCCACAACTTTCAAAATCCTAACATTTTAGGATTTCTTAATTTTTTTTTTTAATTTTTTATTTCATAACTTTTTTTCCCAGGCAAATAGCGCTATTTTCGTTTTCCCTTTTTTACCACCCATTGATTTCCATGCAAATACGGAAATTGCTCCTCTATTTTTTACAAATATTTTTGCTTCTGAAGGAAAAGGCTGAGGGGATTATGGGATCACGCAAGTCGCAAGTGCGAAAGGTCCCCCAGATTAATTTCCGGCCTTATAATAATAAACATATTCTGTTCCTTGAGTTCTGGTTCATCAAAAAATCGAGTAAAATAAGTCCCCTATTTCATAAATACGCTACTGGAAGAAGGACTTACGACCCTCAGAATTGAAAGAATTTTTTTCAAAATCTAGGCCAAAGTACCTAATTTTAAATAATTAGAGTTTGCTCAGAGAAGGCCAAAACTGCCCGACAAAGTTTCAGCATTCCTGTCGTCATTCGGAGGCTTTTGTAGAGTTCCAAATTGTAAGCTTTTGTAAAACGGGTTGATCTACATATCTCTTCCTAGGAGCCGAGGGATGTGCTCGAAGTTTTTCACATTGTTTTCGCCAATGGTAATATGAATCTACTTGCACGCTAGAGCAGAATCAGAGGAGCAACTCAATAGACGTCAAAATGGCCTTGGGAGACTTGACTTTTCCACGCTCAGCAGTGCAAAGCAGTGAAGACTGCGTTCGACTTGCTTTGTCATCGACCATAAACGTGGCCATAACAGATCAAACTATAAACTGAATATTAAATTTTTCCAAGTTGTTTCATATAGTTCATATGAAACAAATCAGACAATAGATAGCCATTATATTTACTGCGATGAATTTCGTACCACCCATTTCGTACCATCATCAAACTAGGTAAGAACCTAGTTTGATTCCAAACGCATGAGAAATGGAATTTCAAAATATACAAATATTATCTTTACTGACATGTGCGATTTCAGTCTGGGTGCTAACGACTGATAATAATTCCTACCCTACGATATACTAATGAGAGGGTAAATATCGGTCTCATTCAAGACTTTATTTCTATTTTCTTCCTTCCTTTTCCTACCACTTCAAATCAGTTTACTTTACTGACTACAGAGGTCGTTTACACATTTTTTGAAAGATTTCTATAAATAAATTTAAAAATATTAAGTGTTTTGGAACAAAGATTTCTAGAGAAAAGTTATTATTTAAAAGGAGAAATATGGTCTGCTACTTTTAAATTTATTTTCGTTCAAAATATCGCATGTAAACGAGCTTCGGATTGAAAGATATGTTTCTGTGCTATCCGAAGAGAAATATTCGCATTCCATAATTCAAAAAGTTGTGAAATGCATGGTATTAAAATTTTTAATTGTAAAATAAGCAACATTATTAATCAGAAAGGGAAAACCCATCAACCATTAATACCTGAAAAAAGTGCATCAAAAAGTGTCTGAAATTCTGGAAAACGAAAAGAAAAAGTATTAAAATATTGTTTCGTCAATGCAAAGAAAGTTTCAGCAAGGGGTATATGATTGTCGCAGGCTAATCTTGCAATGAGAAATATAAAAATAAGAAGAGTGGATAAAAATTACAAGCAACTCAAACGTACTATCAAAAGAAAGTTTTACTTAAGATATTTACAGAATAAATCCCATTTTATCATCAACTGAATTTCAGAGAGTGAAACTTCATCAAAACAAAACAACAAGTCACACTTCGAAAAGTACCACTGCAGTCCTTGATAAATATGAAAACTGACACAGGTATTGCATATGAATCTTTTCAATGTATTCCTACAAAATCCCCTGACGTTTCACCTATGGACAACTTTGTCCCTGGTTTCTTGAGAAGATTTCTTTAGTGCAAAACTAACACGATTAATGGATTCCAAAAAGTAGTGAAAAAGGAAGGGAAATCAATACCCTCCAGAAATTTTAGGAAAAGCCCTTTTATCTTAACATCCTCATGCGGTCTTTAGTCCAGAAAAAGGCTATGAGAACAAATATTTAAAAATATACTCTTTGTATTTTAAACATTAACTAAACAGCCCCGAAATCGTTCCAAAAATGTGTAAACCCCTCTGTACTAATTATAGTATCCAAAATAAAAAATTGTACTACTTAACAGCACAACTAATTAAGTGATAATTTTTGTTAATTAATTCCGTGCTTCTATACATTTTGGTAGAACCTGCTCATTAAATTTAATGTTAATTTCTTTCTTCAAATATATTCTCGTTTGTACTGTCCTCGTAAAGAGAAACTATTGGCCGTAATAAACGTATTCGACAGTATGAATATGGGTTGGGAATTTTATATCTTACATGCTTTCGGAAAGCTTGTAGAGTCATTAGGTTTAACTGGAAGCAGAAAAGATGAAAAATATACAACCGCCTTCGCCGGGAATCGAACTACGGACCTCTGGAATACCGGCCCAGCGTGCTACCGTTACAGCACGAAGGCACGATAGGGAAGTTGGAGAAGTACCTTATAAGCTGTTTATTTTTTCTAATAAGTTTATATATAATCTAATCGCAACTTTACTTATTTAAACGTGAATATCTCAGCTCTAATTTCTCTTCCTAAGTAAAACACATATCAGTATATCAGGTCTAATCTCGTCATCAGTTTCTGAGGGTGCATAAAATAGCTAACACGAATTTAAGAAATTTTACCTGATAGCGATTGGATCTCGGACATCCCAGAACTGTAACAGAAAATAATCCGTGATTAAAACAGAAGAAAAACAAAAACTAATACAAAAATCATCTATCTTAATTTACAATTAGGTATAATGTATATAGACGCAAACGCACAATTGTCTTTGTTAGCAAACTACGCAGAAAGAAACTTACACTTTATTGAAATAAACACTCACAGCAAAGTAAACAGTTCTAAACGGCTCAAGGAGAAAACAGAGAAAATGCAATTTTTATTACCATTCTCCACACCACGCGAGAAATATCACTCACAAAAACCAGTAGCTGCGCACTTCTAAGCTGACTTTTCATCTAACTCAGAATTGAACCTGACTGACTCCCTCGGCTCAGCCGTACATATATATGATTTACTACTATTATTGGAAGCTTCGGAAAACATTTGCTTCCTGAGTTTCGAAAAGGCTCTTCAAGAAACTTCGAGAATGTTGTCAAGTTGGCATGAAATCTGAATGTCGCCAAGGCCGGTCAAGAACATTTCTTTCTGCGCATGAACACTTACAAATAAACTACGGAGCTACAAATTCGGTTAAACAAAAATAAAAATAAAATTATTACATAAAATGAACCAGTATATTACACATGCACCTATTATCAAACAATATATATATATATCCCTATATATTTTAAGAATAAAGATTTAAATAATGACAGCAGTATTAACATAAAAATTTTTTGTTATTCGAATGCAATTAATGTTTTCAATGTTTAATTTTGTTCCTCCAAGAAGTAAAAAACTAAATTCAGTGTATAAAGTTATTCAGTTATTAGGTTTAAATCTCAACAGAAATCTTGAAAATTTAAACTCCTTTCGGCCGGTAAATGAAGCTGAGATTTTTTAGCTGTTAGCTGAATGTGCTGAGGGAGTAAGAACATACCAGAACCACCCCTTTAATTAAAATACTAATTAAATTAATCAAATTAATTAAAATTCATTTCTTAGTATTTGTTTGCAAATAAAGTGTGTTTCTTAATGTTTGCTTACAAGATTTTGAAATTTTGAAATAGTTTGGAAGATAAGATGATCTTAGCTCTTAAAGTTATCCACCTATGAAGAAGAATATTAGAATTCAATACGAAATGCCTTTATGTAGTTAGCAGTATTATAGATTTCTTAAACTGTTAGGAAAAATAAAGCTGGACGAATATGAATAGGAATATGTTTCTGTTACATGTTGTCACGCGCATTTTTGCTTTTAGAGCTTCTAAAGTAATTGACATCCGTAAATTAAAGATTAAAGAGGAAACGTCAATTTTAGGACAGGTAAGACGATCGTTAGTGGTGTAAATTCGTTAAAGATAGCAACTTACGAGCGAAATACATGTAGCGATTGGTTGGATGTACATGTAGCGATTGGTTGGATGGAAATTTAATTAATTAATTCTGCTAAAGGCAGAAAATTTGCCTTTAGCAGAATTTGATATAACGATATTCGGTAAATTTGAAGATTTTTGTGAGTTTGAGATAACTAGATTTGGGTAGTTCGGATATTGTTGCACTTGTTTTTGCCATGATTTTGTCGTTATGTATTATTTTTCCATTTTCTGGCACTTCTCAGCTTTGCTCTTTTCTTCTTTGCAGATGTTTCATGTTTGATTAGCGTACCTTAAAATGCTTATTACAGCTCTAAGGACTAAGCTTAAAATACCATTCAGTATTAAATGTGAAAATGCATCATCAATCCCAAAATGCTGTTCGGTGGTACATGTATGACAAAAGAAGTCTATGACTTTTTTCGCATTGCCCTTTAAGACAACCTCATCCACGTCATAAATTTTAATTCAAACTGTTCATTAATCAGTATCCGTTTTAAGACACTTCATGAAAATTTCGACGTTACTTAACAGTGTAGTATCAAGGTTTACGTCATGACATGCTCAGTTTATATGAAATCAATTTTATTCTGATTCTAAATAATTTAGTAAAGACTAAAATATTATACCAGTTATCTCACCTGAACGGTGTCATCCCATCCTCCACTTAGCAGCTCATTCTTGTTGGTAGGATGGTAGCGTAGAGCGAATACTCTCATCGTATGCCCGTCCATCACATCTGGATCAATACTACAAAAAAGTTCATTCATATTATCTGCAAGTCCTCAAGTAAAAGATAACGTGAAGCGATTAAAAATAGCAGTTCTAAGAAGGGAAAAGTTATTAAGAAATCTGTTTACTCGAAATTTATAAATAGATTTCGTAAAATTTATAATTGATTTACAGCTATGAAGTTTTACGAAGTTAATCTGGATCTGGACATAACACACATCAATGTGCGGAAATTTTACGATATGCTATTTATCATCTACTAGATTTATATCATTCAGTTTCATAACATACAACTAGAAGAAGTGCTCTTTTCATTAGTCTAGTTATAGGCTCATGTCCATAAGTTAAAAAAACCTGTTATTTAGGATAACGGTGCAAATGTATATAATGTGAATATAACTGTGTAAAGCTTGGCTCAATAGGAAGGATATATCACGTGAAGGCAAAATAAAGAGAAAACGGAGCTTTTGTTTCATTTGACGTTTTGGAAAAACAGAAAACAAACCAACACACAGTACCTGCCAAGCATAAATGTCATAAATGCCATCCTGGTATAGTCCTCGAAATATTTAATATGACGCGTGGGTAAAATGAACAACTACACGTATTGTAGTGGATCGGCATACTGTTGATACTTTTGTTTAGCAGTATTCCGCCAAGATAACTTCCGTCTTATAGGAAGTCAAGCGGAACTAAATGTCGTCCTCTTAGGAAATTATTAGAGGGAATGCATACGTTTTACGAGCCATGTCACACTAATGATGATACATAATAAAAAAACAATCCTCATTGTCAACGTTGTCAACTACGATTAGCTGTTCATACAGTCCAGGTCAACGTTTCTGTACTCCTCCTAGATTTCCAAAAAGACAAATTAGTAAATTTCAAATTAATTGCGTATGCAACACTATAGCTGAAAATCTCAGACTCTAGAAAGTAAGTATGACAAACGCCTATCACGGTTTCTTCCAAGTCCAATATTTTACGAAAATTGTTTCTGGAGATCCTACCTATGGACAAAGAATCTCTAAGGAGAAGAATGAAAGCTTCCATAGACGCAATGTAAACCTGTTTCGCCTCTGCGCCGCTGTATCGAAGAGCCACGGCTATACAGTGAAACACCAGCGCAGGGTGGAATTTAAACAGCGCAGTTCAAAGAGATAGTAAATTTTTTTAGTTTGAAATAACTCAAAATGTTTTATTTTCATACATTTCTGGAGTTTTATGAGCAAAAGGATGTTAGTTGGAATTTTGGGCGAATTATAGAAATCCTGTCCAATTTTTACTTTCAATTTAAACAGCGAGCCATACGAAGATAAAATTTAAATGAAATATATTTCTTAATTCTTTTCTTTTGTAAACTTAAAAAGGGGGGAGAACGCATGCCATACAAAACGTAATAAATTTTTATGAATCCATAGTTAAAATTTTACAGTGAAATTTTAAAAGCAAAATTTGCAATAACTAACTGAAACAGAAAACATAATTAAAGAAAATTAAAGGCACCCCTAAATAAATTGAAAACACTGAAATACATTATAATTATCCGACAACTTTAAAAACAAATTAGCATAAAAAGTTTTAGACCATTATTTGGAATGACCATTGTGAAAACCAAGAGCAAAGTTTTCACCCAATAGCCAAAACCATTTCACTTACATTTAAAAAATCTTTAAAAGAATTTCACATAACTAAAACCAAGTACCTCTGACTACAACAACAAAGAACCTTTTCGAACAACGTGGTAAAAGATTGCTAATATGGCCTACGGCATGCTGCTTTGTTGTCTCCTGGTGTTATTTCGCACATGCGCAGTGAGGTACGGAGGGTGGATAGCTTTGGGATGGTTTGCCCCTTTAAAGTAAGCTTCAGGGATATACATAATGTGTCTCTTCGGTCTGACGGAGCCACATTTGCCTCGGGGAACCTTTACTTCTTCTCCTTAGAGATTCTTTGCTTTGGACTTCCCAATGTCCTTTTAGCAACAAAAAAGGGATTTAACGCACTGTGGCTATAATGCTTCTTGTCATCGTTTCGTTGCACATCCCGCGCCGCTGGACTGTTACTAGTGAAAAAGGAATGCGATGAATTGTACAATTGTACTTTAAAAATCATAAGTCAGTTTGTTTCTACGCATTTGTGTGATAAAGGTTATCCGTCACCGGCTCGAACAAAACAAAGTACTGAAATCGACTTGAAATATATGATGATCTCAGACCTAACTTATCAGCATACATCCAAATAAATAACTGCTGCAAAAGAATCGACATGTTCATTCATCTCATTAATATGAGTGTCAACATTTAATGTTTAGGTGATAAGATAAAGTTTAGCTAAACAAATTAACTCTAATATCTTTAAATTACTAAAAAAAAACGAATACAATTTTTTTAATTAATTTAATTGCTTAATATGGTCAAATAACTAAATTTTAATTCCTGTGTAAGGTATTTTACGTTAATTAACCAGTTATTTATAGCTTTAGTCTTTAACTACATAACCCATAACTCACCCATAACTACAAAAACATATGTTCTTATGGATGTTTAAAAGCAAAATTGGTGCTGCATTAGTAAGATCCGATCGAAATAAATTACTAGCAAAGTAATGAAAGTTATATCGCATATTTACCAAATGGTCAATATTTCGTTTCTTTACTTTTACTTCTATAATGTATCACGTAAAGAAATTCTCACCTGCCTTGCAATACACTACTCAAGGTCCCCGTGTAACGATCATAGATGCTTATTTTAGCATCAGACCCGCTTAAGGCAAATGAAGAACAATCTAAATTGAAACTGTTCACCAGTGTCTGTCTGTCTTCTTTTTCGTACCATGTCTTATTGCTTTCTACGGCATCCCATAAGATTGTGTCGCCGGATGCATCTAAAAAGACATACAACCAAGACAGATAAAAATGTATTGAATGACTGAATCAATATACTTCTGTCATCAGCCGATAGATAGCATTGTAGAAAAGCCGCCGATAGGGGGCGCACGATAACAATCGAGAATCGGGAAGTGAGAGAATAGGATTAATGTTAAGAATGTTCCGTAATGAAATGTATATATGTATATATTTATTGTAATAATAAAGCATTTATAAAATGCAAGAGTTTCGTGCGCCCCCTATCGGTGGCTTTTCTACAATGCTATCTATCGGCTGATAACATTCGATTCTGACCTGACAATCGTCCGGATTGTTCAGAGTACAAATCAATTTTATAATTAATACAATTTTCTACTTCGACTCTTATACACAATACTAAACATACATATTACTAATACACTAAGAAGAATACACATTATACTGAAATTTGATATGATAATAAACTTACTAAAATATTTTCACATACATAAATTCACATATTTTTATACATTATCATAATAATCGAAAATTTTCTGTAAATCATTACTAAATATGTGATATATATGAAATAACTCAATTTTTTTTCAGGCCTAAAATGATTCAAAACAAATGCACTAAAGTCTTTCAGCTAATGTTCAAAAGTTCACAGTCAATTAATGTTCAAAAGTTCAAAGTCTCTAAAGTTTTCTATCATATCAAATTTTAGTAATAATGTGTATTCTTCTTAGTGTATTAGTAATATGTATGTTTAGTATTGTGTATAAGAGTCGAAGTAGAAAATTGTATTAATTATAAAATTGATTTGTACTCTGAACAATCGGGACGATTGTCAGGTCAGAATGACCGAATGTTATCAGCCGATAGATGGCATAGTAGAACAGCCGCCGATAGGCAGCGCGCGATATCAATCGAGAATCGGGAAGTGAGAGAATAGGATTAATGTTAAGAATGTTCCGTAATGATATGTATATATTTATTGTAATAATAAAGTATTTATAAAATGCAAGAGTTATCCCGATTGAATGAAAAGTGAAAGCCCGACTTACCCCTAGCCGTCCTGAGATTGATAACGGAGAATTTAAAGTTAACACTTCTATACTGAACAAAAAAAGGGAGAATAAATTATTGTATGGGCTTCGTTAGTTATCGTTAGATGATTTAGTGTCGTAAACAAAATAACATGCATGATGGATTGAAATTATTTAATTGTGAATTTGAAAGTGTTTTCAAAATAGAGCATTTTACCGTAAGTAGCTTAAAAAGTTCAAAAATGCTCAAGAAAAAAAAAAAAAAAAAGCTACGTTTATTAACCAATTAGCTTATCATTTTGCCTGTACTTTTACTTACACTTTCGTCAACTCCTATTGGAATACAAATTAATAATGTATTTCAGTACAGAGTTCTTGAGCTCACACTTTGGTAAAAGAAAATCTAGTAATCGATAGGTTTTGGGTAGGAGATACCAAATTCTTTTCAAATCCCTCTTAATGTTTTGATGATATAAATATAGCTAGGAAAGTTTACATATTTTCTTAAATTCTCATTTTCAATCCAAATCAAAGGAGGCTGTATACTTTAGAAACCGAGATTTTGGTCAAAAAACATCTTTTCTTTTTCTTATGCGCTATGAAAGTCTTATTTCTTATGTTTCCAAAACTGTTTGAATTTTGTTCCTACGTTAATTTAAACCGAAGTTATGATACTTTATTTGACACTTTCTCCTCGAAACCATACCAGAAGTGCACAAGACGTAAATATTTAAAAGGCCGAAGTGGGTGTATCAGACTTGTTTACTTTTATTTTCGGAGCTTAAAACTTTATTTAATTGCATTTTAAAGACAAAAAAAGTATTTTTATGATGGGAACAAAACAAAGTTCTAGCAATTTTTCAAGCTGCATGTTATGAATTCCCCAACGCATTTTCGCTCGTGTTTTGATTCTGTGTTTACATTGCTGATAAGCGCTTTATTTATTACAGAGTAATATTCATTAATTGTTATATGTATAGATAGATATTGATATATATATGGTAATTTAGGTATAGATATTGGTTATTACACAGCAAACGAGTATGAAAGGTTTGATGTTAACCGTATCGACAATCAATGCAAAACGACATTCCCTGATTTGGATTTAAAAAGCAGAGAAAAATTTTAAAAGCTGCTAGAAAGAAAAAAAAAATGTAAATTTTGAGAAACAAGAGGGCATTAGTTACAAATCAACGGAATTTTAAGTTTACAAACTGATCCAAAGTAGGTAATTGAGTGTTTGAATTCTTTAAATGCGTTGATAAATGCATTTTTTATGAAGTTATTATGTGTTAAACATGAATTTTAATGAGAAAATATGTTTTTTCTTTGTTATATTACACATTCTAGCTTAACAAATTTTTAAATAACTTCCTAGCTCTAAAATAATAGTCTGCCTCCTTGAGAATATCATTATGATGGCTTTGCATTTTACAAAATATGAAAATATATTATACTTTTTTTAACAGAGTGTTTCTAATTTATTGTAAATATTGCTATTTTTTTTCCTCTTGTTTTCTTATTTTACTCCAAAAATACAAAATTAATGGTCATTAAATAACTCAGCTTCTTTATTTTTTTCATCATTAATTACTTTAAAGCCAAAATTAAATGCACAAACTTAAAAATTAAAAAACATGTTTTCGAAGATATACAGCCCCCTTGAGTCCTGGGACCACATAGAAACATTTTATGCATTTTTTTAACCGTCTGCCGAAAACGTAGCGAAGAAAACAAGTTCAATGTTTCTAGAAGTACTTACACTGTAGTTATACTGTAAGAATAGTTTCAATAGCTGAGTGTAATGTTACGAAACTGAAAGAAAACTCATTTTAAGGTATCCGACCACCTTCTAATTTAATTTTTTTTTTTTAAGTAATAGGAATATCTTAAAGCTTTTGAAATTATTTAAATTTATTTCCTTTTGTGCATTATATATTCCAGCATAAGTAAAAATATGGAATGAAACAGAGGGAAGAAAATAACATACATGTTGCTTTTCTATTAAATATTTTAACCAAGAGATAGGTAAATATGAGAAAAAAAATTTACCAAAAACATAATAATTCAGATTTAAATAAAGGGATTTTTCTGTAAAATTTATTACGATTCATATAATCTGCATTAAGTAATGAACCACTTTTACCTTTTCGAAGCAAAGGAAGTGTTGTAATCGCGAAAAATTTCGGGTATCTTATTTAAGCTAAAATATCCATTTTGACCGCTCTCGAACCCATATAAATAATATTTTTGTGTGGCATCAGTATGTACAAAGAGAATGAATGACTCTTTTTTTGCTAAAGCGTACTATAAAGTAGGTTTAAAATGGATTCTGAAGGGATATTTTTCGTGATGTTTGTACCTACGTACAGAAGTCACGAAAAAATTATGTATGTCGCATAACTCAAATGAGCATGTAATGCAATTTAACGATGTTTTTGAGTGGCATCTGTCCGTTAGAACAGAATAAAAGACTCTTTTTTCCCAAAATGGATCCAAAAGAGATTTTTTCCTTGACGTCTGTACGTACGTATGTAAGTATCTCGCATAACTCAAAAAGGAGTAGCCGCAGAATGTTGAAATTTTGTATATGGAACTGCCATAACATGTAGTGGTGCACCTCCTGATTTCGTTGCAATCGGCCGGACCAAACACTCGCACACACACACACACACATATAACATATATATGTAATAAATTCAAACTCAGAAACAATGACCAGGATTGGAGGCGAAGGCAGATTAAATCTTTAGTTTTATTTTCAGCAACATATTGTGGCTACACACAAGTCGGCACATTAAATGCGCCTGTTCCAAAAGGCCTACATTTTTTATAACTTTGTAGCAAGAAAGCAGCAGCAGACAGACAGCAGTCTAGCTAGGAAAGCAAGTGGCCGTTTAGCAAGCGTGGAAAGCAAGTGCGTAATGTTCAAGATGAAATCTTAAGTCAAACTGAGTTGGTTTTCAAAGCATTTTGATTGTATAGTTAATATTGCTGTAAAATTATTATTGGCTGGTTGAGTTTTAGTTCCATTTACATCATCATAATTACGCAAGAGTCATATGACATAGATTTTTGTAGAAATGGCGCAGTGCAGAGAGGGGTATGTTTAGAATAGAGAAGGGAAATTTACGTTGCTAATTTAATCTTATATATAATCTTTATTTTATTACATATAAATATATATATATATATATATATATACATATGTGTGTGTGTGTTCCCATCCTGTTACCGGCTCAGTGAGTTCAATATTTTTATTATTTGTTTCTAATATATTGCTAAATTGTACACTTTTTGCTTTATATGTAGTTAAATTATATGTGGTATTATATGTGGTTAAATGCATTTGTTCTTGTATTCCGGTTTAGGTTTTTATGCCTTTAGTTAATCTGCATGCAGTAGTTGTAGAATTAACCACAATTTAAAAGTTTAAGGGGGTTCCTTAATTCCCAGTTCCATACTTAAGGATCCCGTTCCGGATATGGATTCTTGGGGTATTTACAGGATTCCTTGACAATGTGGTTTAATTTACATTTGTTAAACTAAGAGAGCCTTAAATTTCGCGTTAAAGAACATGAGACTTATATTAGGAAAATACACAGAAATCCTCTGTTGTCCAGCACTGTTGGGCAGAAAAATCAAACTTTCCATTTTTCTGCAGCCAAAATTATTTTAAAAACATCTTCCATAGGTGAATTATATTTTCTAGAGATGTTTCACATTGAAAAAAATCTTTCTGTTCTAGTTAACGACCCTAATTACAATCCATCTTTACCCTCAGCCGTTAAGCAAATTATGTTTCAGTTTTCTTTTTTCATCGACAGGCGCCAATAGCAGATTTCACTCATTTTTATTTTATCACTCTATTCTATCTCGTTGATTTGCACTTAGGCAGCTCAAGAAGTTGGTTTCGTATTTAAACCATCGAAACTAGTCCTGCAAAATTTATAAACACTACGTTGATTCTTGCTATTTAACATCTCCAATAATCTTTATTCGGCGTGTTATTTTAACCTAACTTATAGATATTATACTTTGTATATAAACATATATTTGTTTGGAACACAATAAAAAAATATTTGCGTCTTACAAGAGGCTAAGAGGTGCATCCCGGAATCATCTGTCTCATTTTCTGACAGGCTTGTCACTGGCAAGTTCGAAGGACCAGCCAGTGTGTTCTGCACCTCGAAAGATTCTCCATCTCTTATCTAATAGACAATAATAAATATATAATTTTCAATAATTCAGAATATAATTTCATTTGTGAAATTCCGTGATTTTATTCGAACTCAGCTTAAACACATAAGTTAAAAATAATACTATGAATTTATAAATATAAAAATATTTATAAATATAAAAATATCTCTGCATTCAGAAATTTCCATTAAATATTTAAAAAGTTACCTAATTTTAAATTAATACTTCTGGGGAAAAGGATTATTGCTTAGAGAATCTTTACCTTGAGTAACTTTATTATTGACATACTTAAATAGATTATTTACCTTGAAAAAAACTCCAAGAAATATGTCAATGACATAAAGGTGAGTTTCAAATGTTTGGAGGACTAAATGATTAAAGTTTGAAAACTAAGAAATGTATGCTTATGCATGTATACTTTTGCATATATAATTTAGGATTGAGAAATGCATCCAACTCTCATTGTAAATATCAATATTGTGCTTATCAAAATTAATGAATATTGACATAAAATGAGACTTAACTGTTAGTTATAGAAAAACTATTAAAACATATTTCCACAGAAGTCTTATTTAACAGAAATTTCCATATTTGCCAACAGATTAAGCTCAAAATATTGAATTTAAAAACAAATTCATAAAAAGTGATCTCCTTTTTTTTTTTTTTTTTTTGACAAAACGTTCTTTTCCATGGTGTATGCTCCCCTCCCCTCGACAGAAATGGAAATTTCATATCTTCGTTTCAAAGAACTTACCAAACAATTACTCAAGTCTTAACTGCACGTTACTCTCCTTAAAGTATACTTTTCAGATCTTAGAAAGCCCAGGAAGGCGGTTACTCGGCGGTATAAGGCATCCCATACATGCTCAATCGGGTTCAAGTCTGATGTGTAAAACTAACCAATCCATTCGAGTGATACCTTGTATTTCCAAGTATTGTCACACCAGAGATGTTCCTTGCGAAAGAGTACTGCCATTCCATTAGCAAAACATATGGATCTAAGCATCCCTAAACAGCCTTACATGAATTCCAAGGCCTACTTTACATACTTGTGATGATTATAGAACCTCTATCAAGGGTACACAACGATGGGGCCATGTTTGAGGATCGCACCTCAAACGATGAAACCGCCCCCTTAAAAATGGGATCTTTCATGAATAACAGAAGGCAAGTTGCATTTCCAGATTAAAGCACATTTAAAATCCCAATTCAGGCTAAATCTGTACTTAACAGTAAAACACTATTTGTTCCCATCCCTCTTGGCTCCGGTGAACATGATGGATACACCATTTCCAAACGAAAGCTGCTTTGGAAGATGAATTGAGGGTATCAAACCATCGGCTTTTTCATATGAACTCAAGGTCGTGAAGACTCATTTGTGGCCGAATGTTAAAACTGCGAAACACTTGTAGTTCGACCTGAGTTTGATTCTTAGACGAAATGGCTAGCTTCATGGGCACTTTCGTGGTTTTCCCCATGTGTAACGTGGATACGAGACAATTTTCCTTAGAAAGTCCACGAAGGCATCACTCCTCTTAGCGTGCTTTGCCGTAATCAAATAAATCAAACCTGAAGCCTTCGTTCCACAGCAGAACGGCTGATTCAAAATTCTGCAGCTCCTTGAAAGTCTAAATCTAACTCTGTTGTAGTCGCTTCACGGTTTCTTTACGAAAATGGTCTTCGGATGTAGTTGTCGTTCTTGGTCGCTTTTCAGAAAGCTTCAACGTCATTACGGAATCAATATGATAAATTTCTGATAACGCTGATTCTCGATAGCATTTCTAAAGAATATAATACAGATCTTTAATTCTTAACTAAGTTAGTTAATAAATAATAAAAATATTATATCACTAGATAAAAAATTGAAACTGAGAAACATTGCATTTATTTTTATCCGAGAAGTGTTACATCATCCCAGTGAGGAAACCTCGGTAAATTTCATTAAGCAAATGTTGTGTTAATTACTTTATGAATTATTACATATCGGAGTTTAATTTAAATTATGTTTTCAGAAGTATTAACATAGCAGATAGAGCTTCCTTTTCTAGAGAATGCAGGAAAAAAAATTAACTCAAGAAGAAAAAAGGAATTTAAAGAAACATGAAACATCACAGTATCTTATGCTAAAAATTAAGTCTTCTAGTAACAAATTATTCAGAGCAGTAAAGACTGAAGCCTGTTTTATTAAGCCCATACTCACCTCAACAGTTCCATCTGCCCATCCAATTGCTACCTGATTATTTGATGGAAATACAGAGCAACACATAACCGTACTACTACCCGAGCTGTGGACGAAAAAAAAAAAAAAAAAAAAAAAAAAAAAAAAAACAGTTATAATACAATGAGAAATAAAAAATATTCTTTTCTGCGTAAATAATAAAATAGAAGAAAATGGCGTTGTTTTCATTTTACGAAGAAAATCTTACATTGCCAAAATAAGTATCTCGATCCAAACTATGATATATTACTTTAAAATGGGAACTTCAAGGTTACTTTCTGCCGCCCGATTTGACTCGTAACCCATAGAAACAGCAGCTGCGGAAACAAAGGCGACAGGCTTCATAATTTTCTCCATTTCATTTCCGCTTAGCATATTTCGCTTCACGAAAGCACGTGAATGAAGGCTGGCTTGAGCTACAGTCTTAAATCACGTTGCCTAAGTCTAAAATAAATACGACACAAGTTACGATCGCAAACGGAGCAGGGGCTGGCAATGGCACCGAAAAGCTTATTTTAAAGTAACATACTACTAGAGAGGTTTCGGTCACCACAATTAATGCACAATGTATTTGACCAACGCGCCTGTGAATCGTCATGGTTTGCTGGAATTTAACTGCAACTGCAACTGCAACATAAAGTAACTTTTGTAGTGCATTTATTGTCAGTATCATTTATGAAAACTTTAAAATAAATCTTATACTTCTGGACCGTAAAATTTTTTAATTTGATTGCGATGACTGGAGACTAATGCATAATTTTAGGTTTCTAAAGTTCAGGTGCATATAAATACCCTAAAGGGATTCTGCAATAACACTTTTATAAATTATTATAATTTCTAAGCCTCTCTGAACTGTGTAGTGGTATGGAGAAGGGCTGATATCCTGAAACCAAGAATGGGCATGTTCCAACATGAAACTTGACTATATATGTGTTTTTCACACATACAGCCAAATTTCTCCTCGCAATACCCTTCGAGTATCTTCTTGCAGTGCAATATAGATCTGCCCCATGTGGGAGACGTTTCTCGTAGCGAATTGGCTAAAGGAGCAATGAATTCGGCCATACCCCGACAAATGATTTCGAGCAAATGTTCGAATGTTGGGGGAAAAAAAAGTTTTTGCACCATGCCACTTTTCTCCCAAACATAAATATTTCATTAATTTTATTCATAGTTTTAAATGATGCCATGTGATATCTTGCTTCATGAGTTTCTCTTGGTGGGTTTCTTCATGAGTTTCTCTTTATAGATGTCGTATCATACTTTATGAGTTTCTCTTGCATGTAATTTTCCCACTAAGTGTTAAAAAACATTTATTGAATAAAATATAAAGAGTATTTATTCAGTACTCTTTATATTTTATTCAGTATACCCAGATACTTTCAATGAATGAGAATGCCAAAAAGTGGTTTAAGAAATTTTGAAGTCGAAATTTTAATTTTGTGGTCAAATTTAAAGCAAGTAGCCAAGGGCTGCTAAGCGGAAAATATTGTTAGAGCCAAATACAGGTATCATTGATCTTTCTAAGCGCAAACCCACCATGACTAATTAATGGACTCTGGAAATTAGTGAAAAAGGAATGGAAATCAGTACCCTTGAAAATGTCATAAAAGGCAGTTCTGTCATCTAAATCACGATGCAGACTTATAGAAAAAAGGCTATGATCGAACAACTAAAAAATACTCTTTATATTTTAAGTATTAATTAAATGGTCCCAAAGTCGTTCTGAAAATATGTAAACACCCTCTGTAGATTTCCCTAAAACTGATTTTATTTACTTATTTATTAATTCAGTACTGTTTAATAAATTAGTAATTATTTACTAATTTATTAATCAGTACCCCTGAAAATGTCATAAAAGACAGTTCTGTCATCTAAATCACGATGCAGACTTATAGTTTAGAAAAAAGGCTATGATCGAACAACTAAAAAATACTCTTTATATTTTAAGTATTAATTAAATGGTCCCAAAGTCGTTCTGAAAATATGTAAACACCCTCTGTAGATTTCCCTAAAACTGATTTTATTTACTTATTTATTAATTCAGTACTGTTTAATAAATTAGTAATTATTTTACTAATTATTAATCAGTACCCCTGAAAATGTCATAAAAGACAGTTCTGTCATCTAAATCACGATGCAGACTTATAGTTTCAGAAAAAAAGGCTATGATCGAACAACTAAAAAATACTCTTTATATTTTAAGTATTAATTAAATGGTCCCAAAGTCGCTCTGAAAATATATAAACACCCTCTGTAGATTTCCCTAAAACTGATTTATTTACTTATTTATTACTTCAGTACTCATTAATAAATTAGTAATTATTTACTAATTTATTAATCAGTACCCCTGAAAATGTCATAAAAGGCAGTTCTGTCATCTAAATAACGATGCGGACTTATAGTTCAGAAAAAAGGCTATGATCGAACAACTAAAAAATACTCTTTATATTTTAAGTATTAATTAAATGGTCCCAAAGTCGCTCTGAAAATATATAAACACCCTCTGTAGATTTCCCTAAAACTGATTTATTTACTTATTTATTAATTCAGTACTCATTAATAAATTAGTAATTATTTACTAATTTATTAATCAGTACCCCTGAAAATGTCATAAAAGGCAGTTCTGTCATCTAAATAACAATACAGACTTATAGTTCAGAAAAAAGGCTATGATCGAACAACTAAAAAATACTCTTTATATTTTAAGTATTAATTAAATGGTCCCAAAGTCGTTCTGAAAATATGTAAACATCCTCTGTAGATTTCCCTAAAACTGATTTTATTTACTTATTTATTAATTTCACTCCCTTTTCTGCAAAGAATTTCTTGCAAAGAAATTAATGTCTACTGCATAATAGTCCTCTGCCGTTTTAGAAATGCTATTTCTCCTCCTCCCTTTTTGTTTTGCAGGTAGATTTTCCATTCACAGTTCATTTCATTTTATTACTCTCAAAAACAGTTAAAGATAGATTAGAGTTTAAAAGGAAACCTACCGCGTTATTTTTATTTTTTTCCATTTCATAAATTTATGAACATTTTTCTCGGTATTTTATATTAAAAGTTGATTTTCTTAATTTTATTGTGATGCGTAATGTTATATTTGCATGGGACTTTAAAATTCTAACACTCAAAAATTAATCCGTTATAAAAAATTTGAAATTTTCATTCTTTGTAAAACAAACTCTTCACTCTCTTTTAAATCAAGAATGGTAAAAAAAATATGCAACTTCTGGAATTCATTAAAAAAAATTTTAACGTTTTTAAACTTTGTAAGTGGTATGGTTATAAACCTTCATGCTGCTTGTTACTGTAGTCAAAACATCGATTTTTAGCTATATCCTAATAAGCTACAGAGTTCAGATTTTTCAGACATATTCATTATAGATGACAACATAATGTACAGAAGCGAATTTTTCAAAATTTGGTTTAGAGTGTTTAAAATTTCATGTTGAAACGAGTTTTCGTACATATCTTCTTCAGCTAAAACTCTCAGTGTATTATTTGTTGAAAACCTGGGAACATGCTTCAACAAAAAGAACCGAAGTTACATAATCCGTGACGTAATGGTGTTATGCAATGCCGATAGTTTACAGCAAGAATGATGTACTACTGAGATGCTGTGAGGTTGAAGATTCATAAAATGTTTGTGCCTTATGGATATAATCCTCAATGTGATTATTATTTATTTGATGTTGATCAAATGCTAAGCGTCGAGTAAATGTTAAAGAACCCACTTAATAGTATTAATCTTAAAAAGTGATTTGTTTATCACATCAGCACTTCGTCCCATCAGATAGAGGGGGAAAATATTGGAGTTTTTCTGTTAACGGGATCGAATTCAGAAAGGCGAGTATGTTTGTATGCACTTAAGTATTATCGCAACCACCTTAGAAGCAGTTGCCAAATTTTCAGAAGTCGTCAAACTCTGGCAACCATGCGCATAACAGTTCTTTAGATAATTATATCCATTATAAACTGCAATCCGAAAATTCCCCGAATCACTTTTTCTTCTGCAAAAAATCGCCAAACTGCGCCAAAGTCATTTTGTTAGTACGTAAGTACCATATATGCGTATATGTGTATATAAAAAGTGTAAATGTGTATACGCACTAAAAAGCGCATATGTGTATACACACTAAAAAGCGTATATGTGTACACACACATATACATATACATGCATGCTAGTACGTAAGTACCGTAAGTACGTATATGTGTATACACACTAAAAGGCGTAAATGTGTATACACACTGAAAAGTGTATTTGTGTACACACACATATACATATACATGCATACATGAACACAAAACATCTATACATATACACATTTCTGAATCAGATCCCGATAACTGAAAATTACCAAAATTTTTAAATTCACCAGTTTATAAGATATTTTTAACCTAATTTCTAATTTTTTTGAAAAATCATTGGATTTTTTCCGACTACTTGATGTAACAGTTAAGTAAAAGAATGGTTATTCGCTGCTGAAAAATCATTTTTCAATTGAAATAATTTGATTGATAATGAATGTCTCACTGAGACTAAAAAACTGGAATTTAAAAAAAAATTATTTAAATAAGCTTTTATTTAAAATTCGTCAATAAACAAAAATGAGAAAAACTATTTATTACATAGTTTCATAGAAGCAAATGATTAAATAATTATCTTTACAAAATTCATCTACAGTTTTATATCACGAGTCATAAAAACGTGGGACACCCTTAATAAGTCTATGAAGATGTTGACTTGTAGAAAAAGGGTAAAGAATTTGAAAGGTTTCAGATTTTAAATTACGTCCAAACGGGCGAAATCTTTGAGTTTGTTCATCAGAAATTCGTTAAAGTTTTACAAAATATGATATCGATAATAAAAGAAATTCCAAATTTCAAATTTGGGCTCCCAGATGCCCATATTCGCAGTGGGATTACGTCATTCAAAATTGGATGGCTCTAGGTACCGTTGTTTTATCACAATGAGAGAACCATACATACATTTGTGCAGATTCTTCATTATTTATCAAATACAATACATTGCGATCATATTTGACGGCAACAGTTTGAAAAGTGAAACGGACATTCAGAGGGAATCGACGCAAAATAGCAAAACGAAAACTATAGTCCCTCAGGGACAAAGCCTCTTTGGACTAATAATCTTGACACAACAAGTCGATTTTTAGGTTTCCTCATTTGCATGCCGACTCTTTTAACTAAATTTACATTAATGAACAAAAGAAGAAAAATAATTTATCCTCTAGCTGAATGAGAACAAAGAAATTAAATAATTTTCTTTACAAAATTAACCTGTAGTATTATAATCACGAATAATAAATGCGTGGACGTAAAAATAACGAAACCTTACAGTCAAAAGTATTCCATTGTCAAAAAATCCTCAACAAGTGATCAAAAAGGTCAAAAAGTGTCAAAATGGATTCCATTTCAATATATTGCAATTTAAAAAATCTGATGTGTACACCACATGACTTCCTTATACGAGATATTAAATTATACGCATTTTTTCTTGCATTTCATTTAAACGTATTAAATTGAATTAAATCTACTTCGCCGACAGTACATAAACCACAATAGAATAAATGTTTTCTTTAAAATTCACTCTATTTGTTTACTATAGCGACATTATGGCGCTAGGTTCACTTAACAGTATTATATTTAGTTCATATTATAACTCAGAATGCACAAAATTTATATCATTTAAAGAATTATGTAATCGTTGCCACATGTTCTAATCAAATACTATAATAAAGCTAGAATGATGTATAAAAGAAATTAAGCAAACAAAACAAAAAAGAAACAGTTTTTCACAGATGATTTAGTATTTCTCATTCAGTTAATTCAGTTCTCACTTCGCGACAAGGCAAAAATACATAAAAACTCAAAATATTTATATTAAAAATTACGAAGTGAATCTTAAACAGTTATTTACACGAAAAAATTCAAGAAAGAATTAAGCATGATTTAATTCGCAATAATAAATGAAGGTGTTATCTTTGTTGTTGAGAAGCTAAGTTTCTCCAGATTGGCATCAAATCCACTATCCTGCTGTTTCAAATGTAAGCAAGCAATGGCCGCCATCAAGAAAATTATTAGGCTTAGCGGGACTCAAACAACTTTAAAATTGTTGATAATTCTAAAAGTATTGGATACAGATTTACTAAAGGCATAAAAACCTTAACGGGAAGATAAGAACAACATAATTCAATAATTTTTAAAGCAAAAAATGTACAATTGACAAACATATAAGAGTAAAGAAACTGAGATCACTGAGCCGGGTAACAGTGTGGATATATATATATTATTTATATACGTTTAGTGCGGCCTATTGCAACCAAACTACGAGGTGCACATCTAACATATTATAGCAGTTCTATATACAAAATTTCAACGTTCTGAGGCTACTCGTTTTTGAGTTATGCGAGATACGTACGTACGCACGTACGTACATACGTTCGTACAGACGCCACGAAAAATTCTCTTCAGAATTCATTTTAAAGCAGTTTTATAATTTTTTTGAAGGAAAAGTGTGCTTTATTCTGTCCTTACGTACAGATATCACGCAAAATCATCGTTAAATTGCATTCGATAGCAGTCAAAATGGATATTTTCGTTGAAATATGCTGCCTGAAACTTTTCGCGAATACACTACTTCCTTTTTACTTCGTACAAGCAAGTAAAAAGGATAAATCTTTATAAGCTTAATAAAGCTGTCTCGCGCTTTTATTATTCCTGATAAAACTGTTGATGGATTTTATAAAGAAATTCATTTAATCATTTGTGCTGTTAAACTATACAATAAATTATTTTTCTCCTTCATTAATTATTAAATTAATTAATCATTATCTGATTATTTTTAATTATTTGAATATTCATATTAATTATTATTATTCATTACACATATTAATTATTTTGAAATAAAGGCTTCTTTTATAAATTATAAAAAAATTATGTTTTATTAAAATTAAATCTAACTACCATACTTCTTTAATTATCATCTTTACAATAGTATTGCTAATTAAATACTTTTTCATAAACCAAAAATATCAGAATCCCAGCTGGAGATAAATCAAAATTAAAAACTGGTTCATTTTAAAGGAATTTTATGAAAAAGTTTGACAACTTACTATTTCTCGAGAATTTTGACAGCGCCAATAGCTAAAGCTTCATTTTCCGCATTTTCGTTTAGTGAAGTTGACTTTGAGAAACGCTTTCTATCATGCTCAAATGAATCCGATTCAGCAGCCATTTTAAACTTTTTCGATCATCAATCGTCTGCATACGAAGTACGCTACGTAGAAAGAAAGTATAATAATTCTATAAAATAGCGAAAAAGGAAATAAGTATAATAATTCTGTAATAAACTTAAATTGTATAATTATATAATAGCAAATGCTTTTAATTCGATTGCTTTTTCCTGTGCTTAATATAAAGAGAATTAAAAATACTCTCAAAATCAGCTAAATGAAAGCGTTTTTATCATATCATTATATTGCTTGTGTTGCCATTGCTTGAATAAATTTTTAGAAATTATTAAAGTAGAATATTTCTGAAAGTTTTTGATAAGGAATAAATTAAATTAAACATTTTTGTTGTATCTCTATATCTGACAAAGCCAGATTTTATTTCAGGCCTATTTTTATTCCACTTATTTTTAGCTCTGTGATAATACATATAATTATTTTTAAACACCTTGAAAAACAAATTTTTTAGTGTTTTCTATAACTGGATTTGGAAGTTGGACGAAATAAAAATGTATTGCTACTTGAGAGCAGTATTTGCAGCAAGCCTCAAGTAAAATAAATAGGCATCTATATCTCAAATAATTAAATATTTTCTTTATTAAATAAAAATTATCATATTTTTTATTATTATTATTTGGAATTGTTGTTTCTAACTACGCATTTTAAATATAAAATTTCCGGCGTTATACCTTGAATTTCTGAAATATATATATTCCTGAAATACTATCAATCAAATTATTTCAATTGAAAAAAGATTTTTCAGCAGCGAATAACCACATTTTTACTTTAGTGTTACATCAAAAAATCCAAAAATTCCGATGATTTTTCCAAAAACTAGAAATTACATTAAGAATATCTTATAAACTTGTGAATTAAAAAATTCCGGTAATTTGCTGTTATCGGGACCTGTATATATGTATGTATACATTCATGTATAGATTTTTAACCCACAGCATCAGAGCGGTAAAATCATCGAAGAAGAGAATAGTTCAAAATTACTGCAGATCCCGACTGGCTGCCAGGGAATTTTCGTGGTTTTCTTCATGCGTAAAGTAGACACGAATCCGTTTTGCTTAGAAAATTCTCCACGAATGCATCCTTTTCTTCAGACAGATAGCCCTCGTATGCTTCATCCTAATCCAAATCATCCATTTCAATCCACCCTGAGATATGATTTTTCGGTCCAGATAACGACGTGTGTGATCTTATGGAAAGTTTAACGCGAATTTCGGTTAGCACGAATTACTAATAATTAATTTTAGTTTAGTTTTAATAGAATTAATTTTAGTTCGTTTCATCATTAGATTTTATCATTTAGCACGAAATTTCAAAGTTTTTTATATTTTTTTCCTGTTGTTTCTCCGTTAGGGCTGTGTTCAGAAATTGTATGTATCGCTTAATTAAAATCCTCATAGGATTCTTTAAAATGTAGCTAGTATGAGTAACAATGCTGGAAAGTCTCGATCATTGCGTCAAATGAGTTTTGAGAAGTTTGTTAGTGCAGATGGCCACGTTTCTGTGTATGCTGCAGTGGAATGATGTACAAACGGCTGTCTCTGGGGTGCCAGAAATATCATCAGAAGAAAGTGAGAAGGACAATATTATTCCGCGCACCCGCCAGAAAATGTCACACGCCTTGAACATCGTAGAACACTTTGCTGCAACATCAGAATTAACCGCTAGTTTTACGGAATCCATGAAGTTCTGTGAGTGAATTTTTTCAAGTTACAGTCCACAGTAACTAACATTTGTAAATTTGTTTACTTTACATGCGACATTCTAATAGAAAAATTTATTTAAAATAGGAAACGGTACTTTTCATTTCAAATAATTAAGCTGTTGTCGAAAATCTATATTTCAGAAAATTTAAAATGGAAAGCAAAGGTAAAAGTGGTATTGGAGGCGCCGGGTATCGATCCCGGTACCTCTCGCATGCTAAGCGAGCGCTCTACCATCTGAGCTACGCCCCCATCGACATAGTTTGTATAAAAATTTAAAAGCATTGATTACTTACTCCAAGGAGAAGTTTACATGAAAATAAATGAGGTCAGTATTTCAATGAATGTTGATTCAGGTGCAACCGGTTTACATTAAAGCTACTGAGGACACTGTAGAGCAAGGTTAGCAGTTTCATTATCTGCTATTAAACAATTCTGGATATAATTTTTGGCAGGGGATGGTTAAACTAGCTGGGGCAACACCTCCTTATAGAAGGGGGTGTTGGCTGGGGGCCCCTGGCGGTAAAATTTTGTGGTCTCCATTTAGCAGGGGCGTAGCTAGAGGGGGGCAAGGAGGGGCACCTGCCCCCGGGCGCAGAATCCAAGGGGCGCCAAACTGATGTTACGACATTTTAGAATTAAATGCTTTCCATCCTTGGCAAACAGTAGCGGGCGCGAAATCTTCAGTTGTCTCTGGGCGCTGAAAACCCTAGCTACGACTCTGCCATTTAGGATGCTTTGATTTTTAATGAAGAAATACTTTTATGGTGGTACGTATATTTTTGTTTCATATTTATGTGGTACAAAATTTGAAAAGTCTGAGAACCACCGTACTAGACAAATTGCAAGCTTGTAGTGAATATAAACAAATAATATCAGTTCGCAATCAGAGCTGAAGGTATAATAAATAATTAAAAACACATTATTGCTTAATATTATTAATATTTTAAGTTCTAAATATTAGTATATTAATTCAAGACTAAAATACATAAAAATTAAAATTATATCAAAAAATTAATTATTCCATGGGAAGGAAAAGTAAAACATAAAACAGCTACTACATTTTCTGAAATATTTTAAAATTAAAATAATTGGTTATTAAATTAAATAACCATTAAGCAAAAAGTTTAATATTTTTTTTCTTGATTTTATTCTAGCAAATTTATCAATTCTTTTCGAGGTATCGATATTATTTAACACTTCTTGTTCCATGTGTAATATAGCCATACAGTTTAATCTTTCTTCTGATACATCTTAAATAGTTTTCACGCTTTTAAAATAGAGAAAGATCTTTCTCCTGATGCATTAGACACTGAAATGATTAAAAAATTTTTCAAAACAATGTCTACATTAGGAAAAGTTAATGACATTTCTCGGGCAGTGTGATGTGCTACTATGGCAAAGCTAAATTTTTCTTCATTTTCCTTTAAAAATAATAAAAACTGTCGTTCTTCATCATCAAATTCTATATACTCATCTTTATTAATTTCTTTTAAGTTTTCTATACAGACTTTTTGTTCTGAATTCGACAAATTTAAATTAAAGAACATTTTAAAATTTTCTACATTATTTTAACATACTTCATTTCTATGAGCAATTTCCGCTATTATATTGTCACAAATAACATTAAAGGAATTAAAAATAAAATCTTCGCGCTGGGAAAGTGATTTAGATTATTCAATACTCTCATAAACAAAAAATTTTAATTCCCCCCCCTTTTTTGTGGCCTGCATTTCCGCTCTTTAAATGTCAAAGATGTTATAGAAGTTACTTTTTCTTTCTATGTCAAAAAATTCGCGACAGAATCCTGCAATAAAATTTTCCAAAGATTTTTAACAAATTAGCTCCTTTAAAATAGGTTGCGTGTGTGTGTATTTAATTATGGCAAAGCTCACTAGGGCTATCTGCCTAAGGGAAGGGATGCCTTCGTGGAGGACTTTCTAAGGGAAACTGGCTCGTATGCACGTTACACATGGGGAAAACCACGAAAACACCCATGCAGCCAGCCCGTTCGCGGGATTCGAACCTCGGACCGAACTACCAGTGTTCAGCGACTTTACCGCTCGGCCGCTGGTGAGCCCTTAAATAGGTTGCATTGAGTTGATTGTAGAGATTTGCTGGTAGCACTGATTCTCTGTAAAATGGTATTCAGGGCTTAATTTCTAAAATCAGAAGTGCCGGAGTCCTACATTATCCCGTTAGGAATGATATATAAAAACTGCATGAACAAAATAATAATAAGTGAAGCACTAAATTACGAGAAATTAAAGTTAAATAAAATATAAATAATTAATTACTATTAAATAAATTATAAGTAGATAAATAATCAATTAAGTAAGTAACAAATGTATTATAAAAATTAAATCAGTCGTGAAACAAGTGTGATATGAGAAAATTAAAAATGCGGTAAGGATAAAAGATGAGTAAAATTCTATATAAATAATAAATTTCGCACTTTTCGTTATTGCAATGTATACTTTTAATTCAGTTAATCAATATTGATCTTCTTATCTGAATAAAAATATTTATCCTAAACAATTTTTCTACAGAAACGTAAAAACTAATAGTTACATTTTTAAACACAATTTTTAATTTTATTTATCTTCATGCCAGCTATATTTTGAACATTAAATTTTATCCAAAAAGTTTAATTTTTAGTAATGACTATTTACAATCATTCCAAACCTTAGGCTTCAAATTGCGCGGAGGGAAAAAAAAAAAAAAAAAAAAAAAAAAAAAAGAAAATTAATTAATATGTGCACTTAAAATTTAAGCAAAAGTTAAATGAAGTATCCGCTAGGCTGCACTACGTTACATGCTGCAGTGATCCATTAAAGTAATGCAAAATCTACTTCATATTGTTTCGTACGTATGGAGAGTAACGAATTTTGATGAATTACTTTAATTCTCCAAAAGCCGTGTAAGAAAAGAAATAAATGCACTTTCTATGCAATATAATACACTATTTCAAGAGATCGTAGCTTAAAAAATGTTCTTTTACCAGCACAAAAATTAAATATGGTTAAATTATCGCTGATGAGAATACAGATAATGGTAAAAACAGGGTGAAAGTGATTGAGGGTGTGAGAGATATTTTGAATGGAAATGAGCGATTAAGAAATAAGGAAAAGTTGTCGGGGGAATAGTGGAGAGAGAGCGTTCTGTTTGACCGCGTCCCCCTACTGATATAATAATAATCAAGCGAAATGTGCGTCAGGAGCAAAATGAATTCTGAATCTGACTCCTAAGAACGAACATTAAGTTGCTGGTGACACTTTTCGCCCCCCCCCCGTATTTGGTTACATTAATGGATACTGTGAGAAGACGATAGTATAGGGCGTGCTTCAGCAGTTCATCTCAGTATTTCACTCTATTATGCTCGCTGTCACTTAACGCACATAAATTTCCCTTCCTGCGAGGATAACCATCGATAACAGAACACTAGATAGGATGGCATGACGAGAAATTTACTCGTTTCTAAGCAAGCT